CTGTTGATGAAAATTTTTGTCTGAACTAAGATCACTCCAGCTGTTCATGATTTGGTCTTCCCTGAAGTTTTATTGGCAGAGCTGTGGCAATTAGCAGTGTGATCTGTTTCTTAACTTGTCTGGTAAAACCAGTGAGTGATGCTAACAGTTGTGCACTGGCTGGTATGATTTATGCTGTGAGTAGAAGTTGGTGCAAGTTACTGCACTGACATAATTTTATTTAAATTGCTCTAATTGTATCCATCCTAGAGGATTTACCAGTGTAAGTATCTAAAAGTAAATCTGCCTTGTTCAGTAGATTTCCACCAGCTTCCTGAAGGGTGGAACTTAGGCTTCCAGGTCTCTCTGTAAGCCTGTCTAACCAGGGTGCTTGAAGGATAAGGGTAAGTAAAGGTTATGAATGAAAACTAACAAATAATGTAGATAACAATCTGCACAAGGCATTTCTCCCTCCCCTTCAGATGTGTTTGTCTTCTGGATCTCAATTGGATTCAGTGGGCTGAGTCCAAAGATAGGGTAATGTAAATTGCACTCATTTAAGAAAAAGCCAGTTGATGAGGCTCTGGATTTTAGTTATCTGCTGGGCGCTTAAAGGATCATGTGTTCTGTGAGTAAAGTTAAGGCCATGCATTATTTGGTGAAAGGCAATAACACCAGAGGGAGATAATTCTAAGAAGTGTATAATGACGTCTTGGTCTGAGAAGGTAAACAGCAACAACAACAAAACAGCTTATAAAAATATGCCTGCTCTATCAGATACATCAGTTTTGAGTCTGAAGGCAGGACTGACTGAAATGAGAATCTTGTAAAGTTCTGCTCTTGCTTTTGTGGCAGAGTCAAGCCTTACAAAAGCATGAGAAGTTCTTTGAAGGCATCTACGTGTCTGTGACTTACGTATCTTGTTAGCATAGTAAAAGACTTTCTCCTGAATTGGGAAACAGTGTCTACAGAAACAGTGACTGTGAGTGAATGGGTAAATATACTTACCAAGAGATGAGAAAACAAAGGGGAAGTTGGAACAATATGGCAGGACTGACTGAAATGAGAATCTTGTAAAGTTCTGCTCTTGCTTTTGTGGCAGAGTCAAGCCTTACAAAAGCATGAGAAGTTCTTTGAAGGCATCTACGTGTCTGTGACTTACGTATCTTGTTAGCATAGTAAAAGACTTTCTCCTGAATTGGGAAACAGTGTCTACAGAAACAGTGACTGTGAGTGAATGGGTAAATATACTTACCAAGAGATGAGAAAACAAAGGGGAAGTTATATTTTCCTCCTCTTGCAGTGTACAGTTCAAAGAGAATGCAGTTACTTCACATCTTATTTTGGTATGCGTATGTGATTGTGTGGTACAGGAGAAGGAAGATTACTGAAGTATTAGTGAATGTGCTTTTAGAGAGAAGTTTTTTTGAAGTGTCACCTGCCAAAAAACAGATAACCTTTTCTATTACCAGGCAAAGAGCCAATCGAACTATTTTCTGGGAATAATAATTTTAAAAGAAAAGTGGTGTATAGAAGTGAACTAGTTGTTGAGACTAGGGAAGGTGGGAAATTCCAAGTCCCTGGGCTATGTCAAATGGCTTTTAAATAATAGTTAGTCCCTCCTTTTTCTTTGTTTAAAGTCAGAAATTGTTATTGTTTAGGTAAAGGCTGTTCTCTTCTTGATTGATATTAAGGTGCTAGAAAATTTGTTACATAGTCTATGCAATTTTCTGATTTTAAGGCAGACTACAGGCAAGAACATAACTTAGCAAGGGCAGCTTCTTCGTCTTTTAATCTCTACTTTATAACATACAGGAGTGCACTCAAAATACTTGAAATCCAAACATCTTCTATGTTTTTGTTTGTGGTCTGTATGCGTCAAGTTTTAATATTTGATTTCTGTAAGTTTATTCCCTTGTCAGAAAATGAGTAATTAATGGATGGGACTGCCGAGTACTTCTTCCCCCGCTTTAACAGTGGTACTTGGTATTTACATAACTGAAAAATAATAATACAGGACTTGTATCAACTGATAATTTGCCTCTAGAGTTGCAGGATCATTGTAGTCTCAATAGTTTATCAGGTTGCAAAGAAACATGTAGTACGAGCTTCAGTGAGGTTTATTGTGTTGTGACAAGCATAGTGGGTTAGGTTAACTGTTTCTTATATAATTTTAAACCTTTTGTTAACTGTTTCTTATATAATTTTAAACATTTTTAAAAAGTTCTTTGACCATATGAAAACTACGTTTTAACCTTTAAAAATTAATTTTTCTGGTAGCCTTTTGGCTACTGAAGCTTTCTTTTCCATTTACTTTTTATGAGTATGTACTGCATATTGACCGTGATTACTTTGGTACTATGAGACTTTCTTAAATGTCAGAGTATTTTGGGAGGGACAAACGAGGTTATGAAACGAGCATACAGGTGGCTGTTTGTACCACCTGGTTTAGCGTGATGAGCCCTTCACCAAGTTATTTCTTTTCAAGGTTTCTCTCAACAAAGTTCTGCTCTGAGCAGGGCATCCTCTGTTTTCAGAGCTGTACAAGTTTGTTTGGCAGAAAGGTGTGTTCTGGGTGCAAACAGGATCTTTCCTCCTCCTTAGCTGGTCATTCCCTTTGTGGAAGGGCTTGTTGCCTCTCTGGAGAGAGAAGAAACAGGTGGTTATAATTTCTTCTTTGCCTTCTGGCTGCCATTGGCAATTAGGACAGATAGTGTTGGAGATACACAAGTAGAAGTGTGTTATGTACAGCATCTCTTTACAGCATCCTTGAGCTAAGGCTGTCAAAACCTATTTGATGTTCCTTTATCATATTGCAGGCACCACATCCAAATTGTGCTAGACATGACTTAAGCAGCCGCACAGACGCGCAAGAGATCTTGTTCTGCATTAGAGGTGTTGAAATCTACTAAGTTTGCCATAAAATTTGTTGTCATAGTGGACCCTCATGTTTCCAAACTGTGCAAGTATACAAACACAGCAGACGTAACTCCCTGCGCTATAAATAGGAGATCAGGCACTGTAAACCATGACGTTTTTTTAAGAGTGCAGCCACCAAGAGTGTGATTTGTCAAGAAGTCCTAGCTCTTACTTTTAATTGACCTCTCAGCCTTAACTGCTTTTTCCTTATGATTATTATTTGTTCTGTAGTTAGTAAAATACACGTCTTCTCTTCCTGATGCCTCCATTTCAGCTGTGCTCCGCAAGTTAGGAAGGAGGTCTGGAGAACAAGTCTTGTGAGGAGAGGCTGAGGGAGCTGGGGGTGTTGAGCCTGGAGAAAAGGAGGCTGAGGGGAGACCTTCTGGCTCTCTCCAACTCCCTGAAAGGAGGGTGTAGCCAGGGGGGGTCGGTCTCTTCTCCCAAGGAACAGGAGATGGGACAAGAGGGAATGGCCTCAAGTTGCCCCAGGAGAGGTTCAGATTGGAGATTAGGAAAAATGTTTCCACAGAAAGGGTTATTGCACATTGGCCTGGGCTGCCCAGGGCAGTGGTTGAGGCCCCATCCCTGGAGGGATTGAAAAGCTGGGTTGCCCTAGTGCTTAGAGACATGGTTTAGTGATGGTTTTGATCAGAGTGAGGTTGATGGTTGGGCCAGATTATTTGAAAGGTCCCTTCCAACCTACACAATTCTATGATTCTATGACATTGTGACATCTATCCTGTTGCCCTCACTCTGAAAGAGTTGAGACAAGACCTTTGTTCCTGGGTGTTCGTTTGCTGTAAGAGGTTTTTATTTTTTATTTTTCCTCTCTTGAAGGAAGTGTTCTACTGGACTGACTATCCCCTGCACTTAACCTGTCTTGTCACGTGGTCTGCTTGATTCCTTCTGCTTTATCACCAATTGATTATTGATGATACTTAAGGATTCTGCCAAGCTTCACCTTGTACTTGGAGTTTCAGGCTTGTAGCAGAGCCTGGATTGGATGACCTTGTTCTTTGGTTGGATAGCAAACTTGAGTTTACCTTGAGTTACCAAGGGCTTTCTTGGTAACCCTAGCATTTGCATGAAAGTGAAATACAAACTATTTTCAAGTTATTTTCTTTTTTGAGAGTTGCCTTAGTTTCTACCCAGGATTTAAATGAAATTTGGCAACCATATGCCAGTGTGAAATGCAGGTTATCTGTTAGTATTCTTTCATGATCCTTTTGCTTGGGATTTGGGGCATCTCTGCGTGTTATGTGAGAATAGTTCCATCATTGACCTCGCCCAGAAGTAACTGCCCTACTGCTTGCGTGGCTGTCATGGAAGCTTCTGGAGAGAAAGTATTTTTGGTATGACAGTTTTTTAGTAAGGTGTCTGGAAGGTTCTTGGGATCTTCCTCCAGTTGTTAACAGTCCTGGTGGAAAACCCATGGGGATGAGGGCTCTGAGGAGGAGGCTGCCAATCAGTGGACTTCAGATTTAGCTCCTGTGCAAATTCTCTCCACTGTGTCTTTGCTTTCTTTGTTGAAGTTCTTAGAGCTTTGAGAGTGAGAAATACACCTTGCACTTCTTAGCTCTTCATGAGAATGCTGGGAAGCACAAGGTAAATGACTTGCTGAAACAAAATGGAATAAAAAAAAGCAACCTCAGACTTCCAGGGCTGATTGCTTGTGACTCTGAGGAATTCCATTTAATAACAAATAACTCTTGCTTTGGTGTAAGTTGCTTGAAATTCTATGCTTCATTTGGGAACACTTGTATTATAAGGACAGAGATCTCAGAATTATGCAAACAGCTACTTGAGGATCATTACGTGGATCGTGTTTCCAATTAAACACAAAAATAAAAATAAAAAAAAAAAGCATTCACTTTGTCAAATTGGAAATGGCTAAGAATTGTTTGTTTTTGAAAAAAAGTTTACTTTTTTATTCATGGTGAAATCTGAGTTCAAGGTTTTGCAATTTTGTACATTATGAATGATCAGGATTTTTTGAATTTACATTAAATGCTTGGAAATAAGTCTTGTGAAAGATGCTTATGTCAGTTTGAAAACCTTGATGTATATTACATACTGTTTAACAGTATTTTACATTTATTTAGGTTCCTCTAAAGAAGGAGGGGCTGGAGCTGTGGATGAGGATGATTTTATTAAGGCTTTTACAGATGTTCCTACTGTACAGGTAAGATGATGTGTATACTCATGTTTGTTTTCAGAAATGTGCAATTTGCAATACTATCTGTTAGCCTACTTTCAAAACTTCTGTAATTTTACAATCTTTAAGCAATTGCCATTGCTTTCCCTTCTCTCTGAATTTACTTTTTTCCAGTTAGTTATCAAAAAAAGAAACCCCTTTTCTTTACTGTTCTAATTATTATCACATTGCGTTCCAGCTAAAATCCATTATTGCTTTTCTTAATCTTTTACAGGGAGCTAGTGAAAATAATAATGTCTTTTAATTTTAGTAAGAAAAAGATTTCCATAAGGTTTGGAAAATTTAGGAGTGCAATTTCTAGGGATGATGAAGTGATAATAATACAGGCAAATAATTTGAAAAGCAGGACTTGTATTTTCAAATATTTTGTAATTGTGTGCCTCTGCCATAAATATCCTCATTTCTAGCAATACTTCAAAAAAAGAAATCTAGTTCTTTATTTGAATACGAATGAACCTGTTGGATTCTGAGTTCTTAGTTGAAAGATCAGATTTTAATTTCTATTCTGTAAATGTGGGAATTGCACATATTTGGTACGTTCACAGTTGAGTCATTTAACATGCTTGTGCCTTCCTAGACCTATTTTGAATACCTTTTCCTTGAGCAGCTGAGGTGTGGAAGGCAACCAAAAATTCAGGGAAAAGCCATAGTTCCCAAACACCAGAAGGATTTTGTATAACTCCCTTTTCTTGAGACATGGGTTTGTTCTGTTTTTATATCCTAAGGGAATAGCGTAGTTATTTGTTAGATCTCCTTCTGTAGGCAGAAATACTGGCTGCCTTGATGAAGGAACACTCTATCTCCATGATCCCTGTCACATCAAGGAAATCTTTCTTTTACACTGTAACATCTTTGTGTTTCTTTGCCTCTCTGTAATGTGTTAAGAATTCCTCAGAGGGCAAAAATATGGAGCTCTTCATATTATTTATCCCAGTTCTGTTGAACATAGCCCTGTTCCCCAGCACAGAAAATGTGCTGCTTGTAGTTCAGTACCCTAGTATGTGCAGTCCCAAGCAGAGTCCTGTAATCACTCAAGTTGATTACTAATGTTGCAAGAAAAAAATTGGGGTAACTTTAGGTTGTTGACAAGCCCGTGTGATTTTCTGTCTGGCTGCTGGGTGACCTAGGAAGGTAGGTCATTCCTGAACTGTAAGAGGTGAAGGAGAAAGACACACGTGCTTGTCCTAATTAATGTCTCTCACCTGAGTTGAGGTGAGGAGGGAGAGAGGGGAGAACTGTGTGACTGACCCCAAAATCACCTATTTGTTTCATGGATGAGAATGCAAGAAAGAACTGCTGACCAGGCCCCCCCAAAAAAAAAAAATTTTTTTTTTACTATCCTTAGGAATAATGACTCCCTGCTGTCCACACTGGGTGTGGACAATCTCTGATCTTTCAAAAAAAAAAAGTCAGATCCCATGTTCTGAGACCATGTTAATTACCAAGGAAGAGCAAAATTTGTGTACTAGGCCCTGTGAAGAAAGAATGTTTATTACCTGTAATTTGCCAAGTTATTCTAAAAGCGAAGGAAATTGTTAGAATGGGGAAGACTTGTTTGTACATTATTGGGCCTATTCCTCTGTCTATTTTTATTACATTTGTGGGTTTCAGTAGTGGCTTCATTGCAAGTAAGGAAGGGAACTCTATTATGGAGGAACGGATCCAATTCTGAATCAAGATGAAGTGCATCTGGATTAATCAAGTGAATTGAGGTTGCTTATGGTGTGTGTATGTTTAACTCCCTCTGAAAAGCCTCCAATGGTAGATTTGCCTTCCCAGTAACCTGTTCCAATGACTGCTCATCATTATTTTTTTAGGAATATCATATTGTTTACCCATATCTAGTTTGTAATCCCCGTATTGGAAATATTTTCCATCTCTATAGTTATTACTCTTATTTGTGTTAGAGCTTTGAATTTTTCAGTCTTTGATGTCGCAGTTACCTTCAATGATGTGTGTGTGTTGCCCTCTAATGGATAACAGCAGTTTATGAAGAAGATGGGTGATTTTGAGATAGAGTCTGGTGTGTACCAAAAAGAGAAGTACTGTGATGAGAGGATTGTACCTTCATATTTAAGATTACAACTATAATGTTTTTACAACTGTTTATTTGCCTTTGCTTAAATTTGAAGAAAATTCTATATTCAGGTTATTAGGGGTAACTCCCATTTAATAGCTAAAATTTGTTTCAAAACTGATTTAGTTGCCTATCATGTCAACACAGAATTTCATCTTGACCTTCTAAAAGCATAGTTAATCAGGGGTAGGCAAAAAGGAAATTATTCAAGTAACACCTTTTCACTACTTGGATATATCCTGAAAGATTTGCCTTAAAATGCCACTTCTTACACGGTTGTCTGGAACTTTTGGGGCCAGATTTTCAGAAATATATTTTTCAGTCTTCTCAAGCTATTGTCCTTCATCAGGTTACTTTCTGATCTTTTTTTTTTTTTTTTTCATCAGATCTATTCTAGTCGAGAACTTGAAGAAACGTTGAATAAAATCAGGGAAATTCTCTCAGATGACAAACATGATTGGGATCAACGAACTAATGCGGTAAACTTTTTGTCTGGTTTCAGGTTTGGGTGGGTGTATTTCATAAAGCTTAGGCAACTAGGTATTCTAAAATGTTTATTCCTCAAAGTAATTACGCTCCAGATAGTCAAAAAAATTTTCATTTTTATTTTTTAAACCTTGAATTTCTGTGTACGAAAAGAAATTTGAATGAGCATTTTAAAAAGGCCAAAATACTTTTTTGCTGACATTTTAAGTGGAGGCTTTTCTAAAAGCCCTCATGTATGTTTCAGAAGGCATTCATACAAAATTCCATATTCTGCAGGTAAATTGCTAGCATTAGCACTCTTATTTGCATCTATGATAAGTTTTACTTGCAGGATTAAAATGTGTGTATGTAGCATTTGTATTTTTTATTGGGTTTTAGGCATCTTAGTGTTTGGAAACACATATGTGAACAGCATTATGGATTTGTATATTTGTAGACTGGGATCTGAGACTTTTTATCTCTAGAATTTAAGTAACAGAAAATTCCTGCCATACATTTAAAAATTATTCTTTGCTTTGAAGACATACCTATGTAAATTTTTGCTATTAAGATGTTACTTTTATCATTCGAAATGCATATTGTTGGTGTCCTAAACTAAATGCCTTTACATTTTTTTTAGCTGAAGAAAGTTCGATCGTTGCTGGTTGCTGGAGCTGCACAGTATGATGGATTTTTCCAGCATTTACGGTTGTTGGATGGTGCTTTCAAGCTGTCGGCCAAGGATCTCCGATCCCAGGTGGTCAGAGAAGCCTGCATTACTGTAGCGTAAGTATAGTTTAAGTGACTTTGTGTAAATTGCTAGATTTTAGTGTGAATTTGACTTAAAGATGCTTTATCAGCCTTGCAGCAAGATTATCTTATTGGACTGCTGTTTGCTGTGACTGATAGAGTCAAGTCAGCATCTGAGGGTGTAGAGAAAAAGAAACATTTAGAGGAACCTGTTCTTTTAGGCGACACGCACAGTTGATAACCCTGTAATGGATTGGATGTGAAGAACAAGTTCCCATCATTACTCTGAATGCTTAGTGCAAGTTAATACCAACTCTGTAAAGAACTGCTGTAATATTGGGGGCTAGTCTTAGGAGCATTAGACTTGGGTGATTGGCACAGGACTTCATTGGGACTGCTTGTAATACCAAAGTGAACATTGTATGTTTTGGTGATATCTTTAATATCCATGATAATTTTCGAAGCTATGGCTAAACAGAAATATGATCTTCACCATTATCATCTTGGGGACTCTTGTTAAATTCAAGGGCCAGGGGCTGGGAAAGCCTTAGTTTTATACCAGACCAGCCTTTCCCACTTCCATGTTTTCCATCGCATTTTGGCTTTTTCCTCAGCAAAAGGTATTAATGCAACTGCTGATTTTCAGTGGCCATCTGAAACAGATACATCCCAGAGTTCTCCCTTGATATACTGGTCTCCTGGTTGAACAGACCATGGAGACCTGTTGGAGCATAGAACTGTGTTTGCCAGGGAAATGGAGGCTTTGAGAAAATAACACTAACCTTTCTAAACATGAAATCAGAAAAAGTGTAAAAATACTGTGCAAATGTCTTCAGGCCTAAAAACCTGGAGGAGTTCTTTATCCTTGAAACTTAGATCTATTTAACATGTCATTTGCTGCTGACAGCAAATTCTTTTTATTTAGTCTCTCTGTGTGGAAGAAGCATTTGTTGTCACTGTTGGACAGTTAAGCTACTGCATGTTGTATGTGTTTGTGTATTTGTAAAAACTGAAACGGTAACTTTTAACAAACAAGGGAGCAAAACTTTATGGTTGGCTAATTATGATAAATTCAGTAGTTTTGCCTGCATTCAAAAGGAAAAAAACCCCAAACAATAATTTCCATAAGATTTTACATTTATATACTCTAAAAGTATGGTTGGACTACATGATCTTAAAAGTCCCTTCCATACTAGACAATTCTATGATTCTGAAGCGTGTTAAAAAGCAGAAATACTAAGATATTTTATGTGGACTTGAGATTTTTTGCCTTTCAAATTGTGGTATTTGTTTTTCATTACAAAATAAAGTTATTAAGTGTTCAGCCTTTTAATTGCGGTACCACAAATCCTGCATTTCTGATGAGGCAAGGAAATAAATTAAGAAACTGTTGTTCGGGAAAGAGAGATCTTTAAAATGCCCAGTGAAGTTGGATATTTTTAAGACTAAGCAATTGATTTTTCTTAACAAGTTGTATTTTCTTTTTCCTAAACAGCCATCTTTCAACTGTTCTGGGAAACAAGTTTGATCATGGCGCTGAAGCTATTGTGCCTACTCTTTTTAATCTGGTTCCCAACAGCGCCAAAGTGATGGCAACTTCTGGGTGTGCAGCCATTAGATTCATTATTCGGGTAGGTGTTGCTCTCTCACTTCTCTTGCTAGGACTATTCAGGTAGTGACTTTTAGCAGAGGTAATAACAATGCTGAAATAAAGGATTATAAATCATTCTGTAATGGAAAAGTAATTTTTCTCACAGATGGACAAATATTATTTATCATTGAAACCAACTGGCAGTATTAATATAGTGAAGATGGAGGAATAGGTATGAAAAGCAAGTCTGTCTTCATGATTTTGGGGGGGGGGAATTTGTGTGTGTGTAATGTTTTAATTATAAAAAGGCAATCTTATTCCAAATGGCAACTGCTTTTAACTGCCGTTTTGGAAAAGAGGAAGTTAAACTTAGAAAGAATTATTATTTTTCTTAAAAAACAGAAAATCTATTTCTTTTAACAAAAAGAATACTTATTAAAAAGAATTTGGAACCACGGTGTTAGTGGTAAAATGTTGAAAAAGAGGGATGTATATGGATCAGTTTAGAAATCATAAGTTATTGGAAGAAAAGCCCAATAGAGATTTTAATCCTCTGGTTTAAGAACTTTTTAAGCCGAGTCCTTAAAGCCATAGCATATGGAAAAGGGGAGTGCTGTATACTAGCTGGTTTTTGTATTCTGTTCCTTAAGCATCTGCTGCTGACTGGTGTCTGGTGTCTGAGGCGAGATATTTAGCTGGATTTTTGGGACTTGTACTGATACTTCTGCGATTCAGATAAAAGTGGGGGGGTACCTGTAGTTTCTACGTTAAAAGCTGCAGCATTCTTAATGCTGGGCACTTTCTGCTATTCACTATGATCTCATCTGTGGTTTTAATTTTGTAAGCCGTTGGAAACCTGAGTGGTTTAATAACACCTTTTATTGCCATCCTCAGTATATTTTGGAATCTGTACTTACTCTGTCTACCCAGGCCTCTGAGAACGTGCTCTGAGGCTTCTGTGTTACTTTTGCATCAGTATTTGGGCTAAGATCCATTGGCATTTTTTCCCCAGACTCTTAACAGTGTACTGTGGGATGGCTAATGGCACAAAGTGGAGAGTGGAGGAAGGAATGCACCTTACACAGGATGATTAAAGTTGTAAGAGAAGAATACCATTTGCAGTAGCATTAGATGAGCTTAGGCATGTAAGAAACTAAGCCTGTCCTGCTGTCTACAGGAGACAAACCAAGTACCAGAATAGCAGCATGAAATTGCACCAACTATATTAAACTGGCTTTATTGGTCCAGTTCAGTTGGAGACAAGCCTACACATGGATTATAGATGCCCTGATTTTGGCTAAACTTCTCTTATTCTAAGTTGCAAATTAACATACTCAATAGGATTTCCTTGCTTCTATTTCTCCAATCTATAGTGTTCAAACACTTAATCAATAAATGGCTTATGCATGTTGTTCTGACAGAAAATTCAGGTTTCAGTGGAAAAAGAAAAAAAATAGATATCAAACGAAATGCAGCCCCACACTCCTTTGTTCTCCAATCTATAGTGTTCAAACACTTAATAAATGGCTTATGCATGCTGTTCTGACAGAAAATTCAGGTTTCAGGGGAAAAACTAAAAAAATAGATATCAAACGAGATGCAGCCCCACGCTCCTTTCGACTTAAATCCTTTAGACAAAATGAGAGTTGGTCAGGGAGTGTGTGATCAGTTGAATATTTAGAGCCCCAGCCATTGCAGCTTTTGGAATTAGCATTTTGCTCAAGTCCTCCTACCAGAATCCACTGATGCCCAGTTCACGTCCTGGTCCTTTAGTATCTGATTGCTGTGAGACTGAGTCTCTGTAAAAAGAAGGTGGCTGTTTTATACCTAGATTTTGAAGAGCTCCATCTCATCTTTGTGCCTTTATTGCATTTCATATTTCTTCTCCAGATAGTTCTCGCATTGTCGTCTGATTTCTCTTTCTTGACTCTTAGTAAATCAGGAAACCTATTAAAGAAAAAGGCTGGGGGAGGGGGTTGTGGGGTGTGTGTTGAGATGAGATGGTGTGGTGGCAGAAAATCTTTTCCAGAAGGAGGTGGGATTGCGGTTGGGGAATAGAGCTGGAAGGTGGGTTGGGAGGAGGCATGTATCATTACGGCTTCAGAGGGATAACAGATGAAATGTGCGGTGTATAAGCTGAATGAAAGCAAGCCTGAGGCTTTGATTCCTTTGCAAAAAAAATACTTTCTAGAAATTACAATAATAGCCCCAAAGACTTGGAACATACAGGTTTCTTCATCTGTAAAAGCGTTTTATTCTTTCCCCTGATATTGCTTATTGTTCCCTTTCTGACAGTCGTGTGCCACTTTTCAATTTGAAAACTATGCAAAACGCAAACAAACCCCCTATGACGCTGTTCAAAAGTATATCAGTACAAACAAATGCAACTCCTAAGGCTCTCCCAGATTTTTGGATTAATTCTCTCCTAATTCTGAAGTTGGCAGTGCACTGAGAGTTGATAATTATCTCTGCTTTTTCGGTGATTTGGGTGTTTACATTCTGCAACAATAACCTAAGGAGGCAATATGATATGTGAGATTCTAAAAATTGTTCAGTATTGTTACTTTTTAAGCATTTTTTTACTAGGCTACAGTTTCACACTGTACTGGGGATTGGTCTAGAATTACTTTTTAAGCATTTTTTTACTAGGCTACACAGTTTCACACTGTGCTGGGGACTGGTCTAGAACGTATGTGTTTAATCAAGAAAGGAATAGAGAAATGAACTGCAAATGGATTTGTTGAACCATGTTACTCCTACTTGGAATTAAAACGTTAATACTTTGTCTACAATTAGTTAAGCTGAAGTGAAGCTGATTTAATTCTGAATTAAAGCACTGCATTCGGATTTAACGTAGTTTATCTTACCCACTTTAAATGGTAGTTCCAGGGTTTTCTTTTCCCATGAGGTTGTTAGGTGTTTCCATATACTAGCTTATACATGCTTTTAGTTTTTATTGACATTATTGCATTAAAAGACGTTTGGTCTCTGTAGCATTAATTGTATTGATTCATCCCTAAAAGAATGCCCATAGTTTCAGATTGCTTTGCTTTTTTGTCTCCATAATTCTGATTTTTAAGACTGCTATGTCTATTGCTTTTTTTTCTGTGTCAAAACTAAAATACCATCAGCTTACAACTCCATTGATGCCGTTACATATGGCTTCTGACAGCTAAATATTGGCATATCTTGATGTGATTGTTGATGGCACTGGAGGTGCTTTTTGCCTGACATTTTGGGAATAAAATAAGTTTTAATCAATTGACTTAGGATCAGCAGTCATTTATTTAATAGTATTCTGCATTTAGTTTCAGTAAGCATGTTAAATTATTGCAATTTTTATTATGTTGCTAATTATGTTTGACTTCATTAGTACAGTACAAATTCAGGAATGCGTTTGTCATTAACTGCTTTGTTTTGGCTTTTTTTTTTCCCTCTTCAGCATACCCATGTGCCACGACTCATACCTTTAATAACAAGCAACTGTACCTCAAAATCAGTTGCAGTTAGAAGGTGAGTACCTTATAAATAGTGAATTATTAAAGCTGTTGCTTCTTTAAGTATGCTGATCTTATGCTGGAAATAAACAGGTTTGAGGATTTATGGCCATTAACTCTGAATACACAGAACTCTGTTATCCAGTAAACTACAGAGATGACTTCCAGCAAAGATACCTTGGATGACGTTGAGGAATGGTGCTTTCTGCCGTATTGGGGGACATAGATTGCAACCTTCTGCAGAATTTATTCTAATTTAAAATGGTCCAAACGCTTCTTAGGGAAAAACTACCTTCTGATTTAAAACCAGAAGGCTAAAAAAAAAAAAAAGCTGTGGTTGAATCTGTGTTGCTCAGTCTAATGAGAATAAACAGCACAGGGATTGAGAGGCATTGCAAGAGCATGGAAACAGTATGTGTGTCTTTGTGAAGAACCAGCCTGAGCCTATTAGTGTTACTGGTATGGCCAGACTTGACAGGCCTAGTGAGCTTAGCTCTTGTTGAAGCACTGCAGTGTCCTGCATGCAGTGTGTGTCTACATTTTGCTCTCCTGGTGCCAGCAGAACTTCATAACTTCTGTGTAATGCAGTTTGAATGCATGGAGCAAAGCTGTCTGATGCTGTGCCTAAAATAATAAACCAGCCGCACTGGGGAATGTGGGATTGAACCTCCCACAGTTCAACCCTCCCTCTTGAACCTTCTCACTTTAAAAAGGACAGGGGACTGCTGGAGAGGGGACAGCAGAGGGTTTCAAAGATAATGAGGAGCCTGGAGCATCTCTCTTAGGAGGAAAGGCTGAGGGACTTGGGTCTTTTTAGTCTGGAGAAGAGAAGATTGAGGGGGGGATCTGATCAACACCTGTAAATACTTAAAGGGTGGGTGTCAGGAGGATGGGGCTGGTCTTTTTTCAGTGGTGCCCAGGGACAGGACAGGAGGGAACAGGCACAAACATAAGAAGTTCCACCTAAACAAGCAAAGGAACTTCTTTCTTATGAGGGTGGCAGAGCCCTGGCAGAGGCTGCCCAGAGAGGTGGTGGAGTCTCCTTCTCTGGAGACATTCAAACCCCACCTGGACACGTTCCTGTGCAACCTGCTCTGGGTGAACCTGCTTTGGCAGGGGGTTGGACTAGATGATCTCCAGAGGTCCCTTCCAACCTCATAGCATTCTGTGATTGAGACAGTGGTTGCTACCTTAGATAGGATGTGGTGGATTAATGTGTTGTCATGCTTAACAACTGAGATACATCTTCAGCATGTTGCTTTTTCCAAGAACGTGATACTTGGATTGGCTCTTGACAAAATTAATTGGTTTCTGACCGTGTCATTTGCTGCACAGTCTCACAAAAGCAGTTATCACTGTTTCTGGACCCACACTAGCCCTGAAAATGATAGATTTATGTGTATGCAAGAAACAGCTTGAGCATCTAAACTATTTGTCTGAATCTAAGCTGGTTTTGCTTCCATAGCAAGTATTAACTCGGATTACACTGACTTTTCATGACTTCTGGTTTGACTGCAAAACAATTCACAGGGCTTCCTTCATTGCTTCTGCTTTCCACAGCTTTGCTGATGAACGTTAGACTGTGGGTGGCTTTGCTACTGCAGTTCACAGTTCAGAGAGTGTCAATGAAGGTGGCCAAAATTGTATTGTTTCCATACTGACTTCATTCCTTTGGAAAGACTAAGGAAAACTAGATTGGTTGTAATAATGAAAAGCCTTTCAGGGTTTCTTGCCATGTCTTTTAAGTGTCTAAAGGATTTGGGCAGAATAAAAATGAAATCTGGCCCTCCAGAAAAGGTCAAAGATGGAACACAACCAGACAAAATAATAGTTCCAGACAGCAGAGTCTACTATCTTTTTGAATACTTGTTATCTACACCTTCCTAATCTGTGTGGCTTTGATTTGTTCACTAGGATCTGGCTTCAGACATATTTTCAAGTATGTCTTTTGCTAATGGCTGTCTGCTAAATTGTGAAGAATTCTGAATTAATAATGAATGAGGTTCCATAACTTAGTTTGTACGGTGCCAGCAAATCTTCAGGAGAGCTTTCTCTACGCAGAGCCTTGTAATAATGGTCTTATGTGTTCCTTTATGTTACGTACTCAGTAATGACAGATGAAAGGATGGGAATAGTGTCTGGGACAGAAGCACGCTGCCATAGAAACATTATGTTGTGACTTTCTAGATGAATTTTTAAAGTATTGATTATTTTTTTTTAATATGAAGATTTTAGCACAATTTTTAAACTTTGATTTTTGTCTGTTATTTTGGGGCTAATGAAACTGACATAGCGAATGTGTAATGACATGACAGATGGTTAATTGAACCACGTCTGTTTTTTTGAAGTTTAGGATTAGTTAGCCTGTGTGTTTGCTTTCTATGCAGAATATTATAACTCTGCAATAAGGCGACCAATGCCCTTATTTGACAGATAAATGTACTTTTATGTATATGTTTCCTTCAGGGGGGAAAGAATAAAGTTATATTTATTCCACGAGTACATCAGAGAAATGAGTATTAATTATAACTTTTTGTTCTGTCTTTGTAGGCGCTCCTTTGAATTTTTAGACCTGTTGTTACAAGAATGGCAAACGCATTCGTTGGAAAGGTATGAGCCAGTATACTTTTTCCCAAGAGTAAACAGCTAATGACTTTTTAGACAGAAAGCTTTTCATTGAATCCTTTAATTGGATTACATTGTTCAGCATGGGCCAAGCTTTCCAGCATAGACCACAGTTCTAGCACAGCAGGTTGTGGCCCGTTCGAGTGCCAGGGAGAAGGAGAGCTGTGTGCTTCAGCCTTGACTTTGTGTTGCCTCCTCTCCTTACCCTCTGCCTCTTCTCCTTTGCTGCATGTGAGCAATACATACTGTGCTTTCTCAGAGTCTCCCTTATATCATGTATCCTGGGCAGCAAAAATGCAAAGGTAAGCATCTGTCTTTTCTCCCAAAAGGAGGAAATTTGTGTGTTCACAAAGAGAGGGAAAATGGGATTAGGCTGGATGCCTTTTTCTGGTAATGGTTAAGAACACACTGTAGGTTCTCCGGGTAGATAGGAAAACAGTACGTGCATCACCTCTGCAGAATGGATGTTGTGAGCACAGAGTAAGAGCAAAGGGACTACAGACCCTCCCGAGAAGGCACTGAAGAGCTCATCCAGCTCTGTAGTCACCTTTCAACCCTTCAAGGTGCTCCTGAGAAAGGGAGCAGTGGGGAGATTGTGATTTATGTCAGAGTGTGTATGTGTGTATTTTAAAACAGAACAAACAAAAGAATCCCCCCCCAAAAACCCCAAACCCCAACCATGTCTTGAATTAAAATAACCACATTTTTCGGTTGTTCAGATGGGTATGTTGCTGTCGTTTGAGCATGTATTGAGGTTGAGAACTCGTACACCAAAAGCTTTCAGAGGTGAATTAGCAGGAAAGCAAACTTGCCAATCTTAACTTTCTCCATTTTCTTACTATTAATATATTAATATTAATAGTTTTTCCATTTCAGGAAAGTAGCTGTCTTTAAAAAAGTATTTTAAAATAACTTTTTAAATATGATAGGTGGATGTACGTCTGAAAAGTAGATTATAATTCTTTTAGATTGGGTAAGGAAGCTTACCTAAAACTTTACAAAGGTGCAATTATGTCATCAGTGTGCTAAGCATTTGTTTACATCGTATCTTAGAGCTACTATCTCAGTGGCATTTTACTTAGAGAAATGTTAATTGAAGTGTAAAACTACTGCTTAAAATAGAATTTGGAGCAGCAAAACAGCATGAAGAATTTCTGTCTTCTAGGCATGCAGCTGTCTTGGTTGAAACAATCAAGAAGGGCATTCATGATGCTGATGCAGAAGCAAGAGTGGAGGCAAGAAAGTGAGTTTTGACTACATTTTGCTATAAAAATGGTATGTTTTTTCATGAGCGATAGAAGGCTCTAATCGGAGGTGAGTGGCCAACTGTGGCTGAAGAAGAGGACACAAGTTAGGTCAGAAATTGATGTTTGTGTTCTTGAAGTCCTGAATTGATACCTAGTTTCTTTTACATAAGGCGTTCTGAAAGTTGGGGCAGTGAATACTGTCATGCAACATTTGAGGATTCTACTGAAACAGGAATCATAAGGGTTGATATTGCTGCATAATTCTTTTATTCCTCCAGCACTTTGAGTAGTGAGTAGTTCAGAAAACTGGAGTTGCTTCCCCACAGAACTGGTAAGTGAATGTGAGAATTTTGGAGGATAGACTAAGTTATTTTGAAAAGATTAATTCATTGTAGCTGATTTCTGTTATGATTTGATGAACAGTATTGTGTGCTTTACATGTTTCCAGTCTGGCTTCCTTTCCCTCCCATCCCTGGTTCGTTCCATAATCTTTACTTCCTGGCTCCACAATGGGAAGAAAAGACAGAGCAATTACATGTAATTATTCTTTTATTTTGCAGGGCTTATCTGGGTCTTAGAAATCACTTTCCTAGTGAAGCTGAGACTCTGTACAATTCTCTGGAGCCACCCTATCAAAGAAGCCTCCAGACCTACTTGAAGAATTCTGGCAGTATAGCATCTCTCCCTCAGTCAGACAGGTCATCCTCCAGCTCACAGGAGAGTCTCAAGTAAGGGTCACTTAACTGTTTCTGAGCCTATAAACAAAGAAAAACTGTTTCTCAAAAGCAAATGAGCCAGACTTCTGTGGTGTACTGAAAAGCTGCAGTTATATTTTGTCACTTCTATTTTTTTTAATAAAAAGTCTTTTATTGTATTTTGCTGTATGACAGTATTACCCAAGCAAGGTGAAAAATTAGGCAGTCATTAACTAGATTTTAGCAGGCTGTTCTTACCCAGATTTTTATTCCTTAGCAGCTACTGTTACACCAAAATATCTTAAAGATTCACATTTTGATGTCCAGCATTCAAGTGCAGTGAATAAGTCTAGGAAAGAAGTAATGGTATTACACCTTTTATATCCCTGTTCACTGGGAAGTGTGAGAAAGAGGCATTGACAGTGAGATTCATTCAGGTTTGAGATAGTCGTGGGTTTTTTTTCCCATCTTCCTACTATTAAATATGTATTAGCAGTATTTTGCAGCCAGGCTAATTACTGGAAGGTGGCTACATGCTGCAGTCGGTGTATTAAAATGTACAGACAATCTTGAGCCAAACAGAGTAAAAGTTGGCTTAGGGTACCTAAGCAAAAGTAGCAAAAGAAATCCGCAGCCAGGCTAATTACTGGAAGGTGGCTACGTGCTACAGTCGGTGTATTAAAATGTATAGACAATCTTGAGCCAAACAGATTAAAAGTTGGCTTAGGTACCTGTAGCAAAAGAAATCTATTGGCTTTTGAGTAGAAATGTAAAATAGTAGTAGTAATGTGTGGTGATTATTTTCCTTTAAATTCTAGAAAGCTTCCTCAAAGTATTTAAACTTGTTAAAATTTCAATTCAGATACTTCATTTCCAAAGTCAGAGAGCTTACCTGCTCGCTTCGACTTGAAAGAAAAGACTGCTTCCAGCATATTAGAAGTCATTCTTTTTCTCTTTTTTTTTTGACTGCTGCCTTAAGTACCAGAGGCTTTCCCTCTTCTATGTCAAATCTTAATCTTTCTTATGATACTTGTAATTATAAAAGACGTTGTTAAAATAATTGTCTATAAATGTAGGCTATTGCTAATGCTTAATTTTCCATGAAAAAATGTTTATTCAAAGATTAATTTCTCTTGTTCAAATTAATCTACGTTCCCTGTCCTAAAATCCAAGTGCTGTTAATGAGTTACAGGTAATAAAATGTTAAAATCTAAATTACAGAGAAATTAGGATCTTAAAATACTCTTAAGTGCCCAAGTAAGTGTTAATTCCTGTGTTGCAACATAAGTACCGCAGTACAGAAACGGAGGAGTAAAATAACGGAAGAACAGAAGAGATCATGATATTGGAAATTAATTTTTAATAGATTTCTCACCAGTTTTGCTTTTAGATACATGTTGTTTTCCCTGTGGTACCCAAAATTATATTTCTGGCTTCAAATATACATGTTGAGTTCTTCCTTTATTCACTACATTAGTAAATATCAGTGTGGTTTTCCTAAAAGTCTCCTAAATCATCATCTTCAGTGATTTTGGAGCCTCTGACCTTATAGCTCTTAACAGATAGTTGATAAAAAATGGTTTTAAAGAGGACAGTGGAATGAGAGAAGCACGGTGACTTGTGCTTACCTACATGAAGCTGTTTGAAGGAATTATCAGTTGCAATAGATGGTGCGAGTGCTGAAATTGTAAACAGTTGTCCGGGCCTTCTGTATCTCTTTTCTTTCTGCTTTTTGGTTTAAAATTAGAGAGGGATTATTTTTACTAAAGCTGAGACTGTAGACTCAGGCTGTAATTTGACTATTGATGAAACAGTCATTTATTTTAGCAAATACAAACCGTCCCTGTCAGATAACTATGTGGATGGCTAGATATGAATCCATGAATCAAGTATCGTCCTTTCTTCTACTAGTCTTTTGCTTTTCCCTGGTCCCTCTGATCCGAAATTGTAAACAGTTGTCCGGGCCTTCTGTTTGGAGCATCATTTAATAAGGTCAGGATACACCCAGGAGCTCTGCCTGGGCTGCCTTGTCTTACTTGCAGCAAATTGCCTCCAAAACATGAGTTAGTCATGTCAGAAAAGCAGGTATTGTTTGTAATAAGCTGCAAATATACGATCTTTGGTGAGGAGTTAGGTAACAGTGCTGACCTCTATGTTACCATTGCACGCTTGAGCTAATAACTCAGGTAAATACACAATATTATGTATCTCTTTTCTTTCTGCTTTTTAGTTTAAAATTAGAGAGGGATTATTTTTACTAAAGCTGAGACTGTAAACTCAGGCTATAATTTGACTATTGATGAAATAGTCAATTATTTTAGCAAATACAAACCTTCCCTGTCAGATAACTATGTGGATGGCTAGATATGAATCCATGAATCAAGTATCATGCTTTCTTCTACTAGTCCTTCGCTTTTCCCTGGTCCCTCTGATCACATTTTACCCTTTGGAACCAGTCAGAAGTACGAGCTCACAGTTAAATGAGAGTAGACAGGCAGATTTTGCTTCAGCAACTACTCATACTTGCTGTAAGAGGGAAAAGGAGAGAAAACAGGAAAAGACATGAGATTTTTCTCCTTTTATAAATTTTGGGAGCCTCTAACACTGAAACGGGGGAAATGCAACCTAGCTGCTTGCAAGTTCCAGCATTTTCCTTTCTAATTGGTAACTCAACCCTTGAAGGGAGATGTAGGACTGGAGGAGGCTTTTTAATTATACAGCTCTTTTCCTTCTTACTGCAAACACCACATAATTTGTTTCATAAATCAAGTTCTTTGTGTAGCTCCCACTATTTTTGTTTAACATCTGATTTAGGGGGTCAGCCCCATGGTTAAAACCTTGTGCTAGAAACCTTCATTGTTTCTGTGGCCAAGTCTAGGATGCCTGAACTTTGTGTTAGCAAAGTGTGCCTGTTGGTAACCAAAGGGTGAATGCTTTGTGATGAAGATGTAATTTTATAAAATACAGAAGATAAGATGCTTGTGTTTTCCTTATCATTCTTTATTTAATGTGTTCATCTAAAATATGCTGATAAAGTTGAAGGGAGAAAAGAACATAAGATTAATAATTTTTTCCTCTCTGTTATTGTTGCCTTTTGGATCTGATGCATGAGACTTATTTGGTTTATTCACTTTTTTTTTTCCAGTCGGCCTCTATCTTCTAAATGGTCTGCAGCCAGCCCAGCAAGCTTTGCAGGCAGAGGTAAGGTGGTTGCTCTACGGTGCAGTGCACAATAATTGTTCTTTATGTTCTTTGAATTAAAAGTTTAAAGTGCAGCTTTAAGTGTGCTAAGATTGCCTCATACTTGCTTCACCTTTTATGTGTGTTCAGTTGTGTTTTCAAACATAATTTGCTATGTATTGGTACTGTTAATTGATCTTGGAGTTATGTCCTGGAACAGTCACTGTCAAAGAAGCAAAACATTATTTTGTGATCTACTAGGCTTACGGCAGTTGGAAATGAAGGACTCATACCTTTTCATCTATTCCCACATAGCTGCTGCTCTCTATAAACAACAAAAACCAAACCCACACATTTGTAATTCAAAGAGTTTAATTTTGTCTTGAGTTTTCAGAATTTAATGTCTTCATTCTCTTTTCACATGATGTGTTCGTGATTCTTGCAGAGTAAATCATTGAACTCCTTTTGCCAAATGGCCAGGAATAGAGAGTGCTTGTTTTCTGGGTACTGAAACTGCTACGGGGGAGTGAAGTTCTGAAGACAGAAACCAATGGTTGAAGTTAACTGAAGCAAATAGTTAATTCTTAGTAAATACTAGGAGGTGAATGTTGAAATACTTTACAGATTAGAGACCCCAAAGCAATTCAAGGCAGGCGTTCAGCTTGCCTGTGGCTTTAGCCTAGTTGAAGTGTGGGAATATTATCTTCCCACAGTATGGCAAGGAATGCTGTGGATTTCCTGACGTTTCTGAAGCATTTCATACCGTAATAAATCAAATAAATGTTCTGAAATACGTCATTTGTACTAGCCCATATTGTACTATGGACAATATGTCATTGTCCATAGAGTGGAAGCACATAGTTTCTATTAAATATTAAAATCTTATGCTGACTGAAGATAAATACTACTGTAAAATACTCTGTTCTTTATCTAGTTGAAGATAGAATCATAGAATTGCCCAGGCCGGAAGGGACCTCCAAAGGTCATCTAGTCCGACCTCCCTGCAGTCAGCAGGGACACCCCCAACTAGACCAGGTTGCCCAGGGCCTCATCGAGCCTCACCTTGAATATCTCCAGGGATGGGGCCTCAACCACCTCCCTGGGCAACCTGTTCCAGTGCTCCACCACCCTCACAGTGAAGAACCCTCTCCTAATCTCCAATCTAAATCTGTTCCCCTCCAGCTTGAAGCCATTCCCTGCTCATTGCCAGGGGAGTGGACTAGATGAACTGTAAAGGTCCCTTCCAACCTGAACTATTCTATGATTATATGAATTTCATGGCAACACCAGATGTAGTTTGCTTCTTAACCTCTGTGGTACTTTTTTTAATATTAAGTTGACTTAAGCTGTTTTTCATCCTTTTCTGTCCTTTTTGCAGGTACGCTGCACTAGTAGATGATTAAATATAATTTTTTTCACTACCAACTAACTTTCAATATTATTTTTTTTAATTTTATTTTTTTCTTTTTCCTTGGCTAGTTTCCAGCAGCAGCAAGAGTGTTCCAAGCCCAGGAACCCTGCAAAGGTCTCGCAGCGACATTGACGTTAACGCTGCGGCAGGCGCAAAGGCCCGCCACGCTGCTGGGCAGACAGCAGGAGCTGGGCGCCTGTCAGCAGCTGGCCTACCTCCGGGATCCTACGCTTCACTAGGTAAGGGAGACAGCCCTACAATATCCTGAAAGATTTTTTTTTGGAGGTTTTTTTGATCAAAAATACTTCTACGTTTGAAAAATTGTTGTTGGAAGGAGCGGCACCTTCACTTAATAGCAGATTTTGATCGTGGCTTTTTTGTTTCTAGAAGTAATAGGGAGATAAAGTGTCAGGGCTTTTGATTTCCCATTTTTCTCAGCTCTTTAGCTGACTATTTTACAACAACGCTAAAGAGACATTCTGGGAGTCAGTGGTGGCTTCTTCATGTAATACAGAAACGTTTTACACAATAATACAGAGCAATGGTTTCATAGATTTCTTCCACAGCATGTTGGTAGGTTTTTCTTTCAAAGCATGGTATGTTTTTGTCTAGGTGACAGTCACTGATAGGAATATTTGGTGTTAGACATAAGGTGCTACAGATCATAAGAGTGCAGAAAAGTGTGGCGGTAGATGCTACAACCTCCACTAAGTGGGGAGAGTAGAAGAAAATGGGCATGTTTTTGTTCTTTTTAGGTTATCGATACTGCAGGGACAGCAATGGGGGAAGTGAGGTTTAGTGTTCCCAAAACTGTTAGTTTTTTTTTCTCAGTTTGTGCCAGGTTAGATCACCAAGGAGGCACGTCCTGCTGTCAGTATTGCTGGAGATGATCGCAAGACAGTCAGAGAGACTATATAATTCTTCTTTGTGCCAGGTTAGATCACCAAGGAGGCACATCCTACTGTCAGTATTGCTGGAGATAATGGCAAGAAAGTCAGAGAGACTATATAATTCTTCTGATTCACCTTGCGTTTGGGGAGCTGTTAGGATACACTTAGGCTATGGTTTTCAAAGTTTTTGATTGTGCTTTTTTTAAATCAAAATTTAAGTTAACAAAAGCATAATTTAAAATAGTTTTTATCAGGGCCTACTTGAAATGGGTTGAACGCCGTTGATTTTAGGATTAAGTTTGAGGGTGAGCAGTGCTGATTGACTAGAAGGAATACTTGCTTCTCGAAGTAGTAAATTTGGGTGTGGGCTCCCTCTAGTGCCCCCAGGGGGGAAGATCAGAGAACCTGCTGGGGAGCAAGTGGGCACCAAATTTAGGCTGCTCCCTTTGCTTGGTGGAGGAGATGCGCTTGTGGTTATCACTGGAGGAATTCTCAGTTCCTCCTAACTTGATGCTTAAAAGCCTGAAAGAGGTGGGATGATTATTCTCCAAGACCAGAGTATTGCCTGGTGTGTTTTGGTGTGCAACGGGACACGTTCTGAACCTCAGACAAAGTTGGAGTTCAGCTATTGTGAGAAGCCAAAGTGACACAGAGCATGGTGGTAGAAGGAAAAAGATCTAACAGAAAACAAAGAGAAATCTCTCTGTTAATCTGTGTTCTTCACAGTGCTGAAAGGAAGGGACTGCTTTGGTCTTAAAAGTTTCACAAAGAATCTGCTCTTGATTGGAGAACTGATTTGCTTTTAGAACATTTTAAGCAATGTTATTCATGCCCAGAATTTTGTAAGCAAGAGTTGAGAAAGGCACAGAGGTTTCCAGGAGAGTAAGTAGTTTTCAAAAGGTAACATTAAAATGAATGGTGTGTAAATCTAAGGCATGTTTTCAGAAAATGGGCTAACTTGTAAATGTCTCCCCTCTCTTTGTTTTAAGAGAGTTGTTTATCCTAAATACAAATATGGCAACTTAAATGACAGAATTGTGGAGATAATGCTGATCATGGTACTAAAATGCCTAGAAAATGCTACTGTATTTCTGTAGCACGTTCCACATCTTCTCAGGTGTTGCAGTCACTACCAAAAGAACTTAATACTGTCTCCTGGAGCTTGAATTTATTTTCACCCTTACTTGCAGAGAAACATCCACCCTTTGCTTAGACAGCTGCCAAATTTAGACCCTTGGAGGACCACAAATTCTTGAGAGCAGCAATCTATAATTGTCCCCACCCATTTCTTCCCATTTTATTGTTAATAGAAGAACTCTTGCTTGCTCATTTATGTTGTTTTTTTAAGACTGTACTCAAAGCAGGAAGACATTTTCTATTTGAGTTATTCTAAATGTTGACTATCTTTGACATACTGAAATATTAATGTTCTTTTTGAGGAGACTTGGGCTGTAATTATATATGTCCCACACTAAGTATTTTAATTTTGATTGTTACTGTCAGAATATGTATGCACTACCTTCCAGCTGAACTGGTAAATTTTTAATGCTTTTAAACCAGAGTGGAGCTTTCTGCTGTTTGTCCTTTGTCTTTATTGTGATGTCCTTTTCCTCCTGTCCGTTACCCGAGGTGGGGCTTCATGCTCAGTAGCAGATTTCATATGAAATAGAATACTGCAGCTTAGTTAATGATATGTACTGATGCTTCAGTAACTGTTGACAACAAATATGAAATAGTTTATAAATATTTTACTGTAATGGTTTGCTCAAATCTGAGTAATATGAAGAGATTAAACATTTCTGTGCAGGGTACTTGTACCCTGTTCTGTAATTTTGTACCTTGGGCTGAGAAACCAACTGTACTTAAGGTAACTTATATGTGCATGAATTAGATAAACATGTCTGCTGTATTTAATATTAATGTGTTTTCCTTAATTAATGTTTTATGACTCTACTGTGAACACCTTTATTCTAACACACTAAGTTTTCCATGTTTCTTTGCCTGCTTTTTCAACAAAGAGGATACTTCTGACAAGATGGATGGTAAGAAATTGTTTAGTCTGTCCTCTAATTCTATTAAATATTTAATAAAGTGCCTTTTAAGTAAAATTATTGATGTTTAATATATTTGTCTGTTTATTAACAAAATACTATGCTGTTTTGATTAACCCCTATGTAATCTTGCTGTCTTAATATTTGTGTTGTGTTTATCAATGTTTTTGATGATTGATCTGTATCAGCAGCAGAATCTTTATCAGAAATTGGATATTAATCCAATTAACCCCTATGTAATCTTGCTGTCTTAATATTTGTGTTGTGTTATTGCTAAAGTGCCTTTTAAGTAAAATTATTGATGTTTAATATATTTGTCTGTTTATTAACAAAATACTATGCTGTTTTGATTAACCCCTATGTAATCTTGCTGTCTTAATATTTGTGTTGTGTTTATCAATGTTTTTGATGATTGATCTGTATCAGCAGCAGAATCTTTATCAGAAATTGGATATTAATCCATTTTTTTTTAAAAAAAAAAAGCCCTATTAATTACAGAGCCATTCTGTAGTCAATACATGTTTTTTTAATTAGCTCTAGTTCAATTGTGTTTCATAGTTTTACCTGTAAAGTCAAATTTTTCACTACTTGACAGAACAGCTGTGGGAGAGCAGGAGATGCTTGACCACATAATTAGGGATTTTTTAAAAAATAGAACTAATATCTTCTTGTTCAAAACTACTCTAAATCTATGTATCTAGCTACATAATTTTAAGTGCCTGTAAATCCTGTAATACAATGTAATTGTCGTCGAACCACAGAGTAGTAGGGGTTGGGAAAGGACCTTCAGAGATCACCTAGTCCAACCCCTAATTTTTAGCAAAGAATAGTTTGTTATGGACCTTCAGAGATCATCTAGTCCAACCCCTAATTCTTAGCAAAGAATAGTTTGTTAAGATGACCTACCTGTTAAAATAGCTTACCAAGTATCCCAGCTAAGTCTTAGCCCTTACTTTTTCTTAATTTACTATGTTAAACACATGGAGGAAGTTGACATATATGTTTATCCTGCCTGCAAAGCAGTTGAGAATTGGACTTCTCACAGCAGTTGTCTGTTTCAGGTGTGTGTAAAGTCATACTTCTGTGATAATAAAGTGACAGAGTCCCAGCTTGAAGCCTGATATTCCTAATTCTAATTTATTGCTGGGGAACAAATAACAAGTCAGTTATGTTCGCTACTTATTAAATAATTCTTGTCATGTGTTTATTAACAATACAGGTTTCGAAGAATGAGTAGTTTACTGGAAGCAAAGTTGGGGATATTTTTCATAGAAAGGAAAACAGTAAGAAGGTAGATCTCTGAAACCCAGAATCTTGAGTCATTTTAAAGCACAGATAATAACTTTCCTGAGGATACTTTCTGGAAGAATTGGAATTATTTTTAAGTATTGCAGACGGCAAGCCTACTTGAATAAAATTAGAGTGTTTTTTTTTTTTTTTAAGGATAGTAATGTGTGTGTTTGTTTCCACATCAGATTTTCTTATATTGCATATAATAAGAGTTATTTATAATTATCTGTGCCAAACGCTTAACCTTGAGCTTTTGCACATTGTCACCAGCAATAAAGGTTCTTAGGGGCCACAGGTACAGGATTTTTCTTTTTTTCTAATGGTGTCCCACACATCTATTTAAAAATAGTAGGGGAAGTACTACACAATTGATCAGAGTAAGAAGTGTTTGTTTTCTCCTAGAGGATATCTGTAGGGGTGATGTGTGAAACAGAAGGGACGCAGCTTAGCTCTCCAGCTGTAGCTGTATGAAACAGCTGGTCTGATCTAATTGCCACCAGGAGGAACTAATAATTTTTCCTTTTCCCACTAATCTTGGCCACATGTTTCTACCAATTCTTTCACTAGTCCCTTGTAATACTTCATTATTGATCACTGTAGGTGAACAAACTCTAGAAAACTGATTTGGTAAAACAAAAGTGAATAGTATTCTGCTCTTTAGCTTTTGGAGCTGACTGAGTCTCTAGCCATCCAAGCCAAGGGCGGAGAGGAAGGAGAAGCAGAAACATCCCTAGCTGTTAGCCTGGCTTAGGTGTTGCATAGAACCTGCCTTCTAAGATCCAACTCTGGAAGAAAGTTGGATTTGGGGGGAGTAGTTAAGGTTTTGGAATTTTATAGGCTGGCAAACTTGATCTGGAAAACTTCAGGGCACTTCTACATCCATAGTATTGTAACTGATTTTTATGAAGAAGCATTGAAATTCACACTGAATTAATTATTTTAAAGAAGTGTTTAAAAATAGTGCCTTGAAGATAGTATAATATGAGAAAGCCCTGGCCAGATTTGCTGAGAAAGTTAGGTTCAGGCTAGCAAAAGACACTAACAGATGGTTTAGTCATTGGAGTTCTCTTACAAGGTAGAAACAGCAAAGTGAAAACAAAAATGGAAATACCCTTTTATCAAAGGGTATTTACTTATTTTAGACATTTAACATGTTTATCCCTACTATAATTTTATTCCATAATCAGATTTGTTTCAAAGGAACTTAGAGGAAGGACTGCTGTTTAGATAGCTTCCTATCAATTCCTAGGTACTGATGTCAGTAAAAAGATTTGTCCAACTCTCATTTTGTCATAATTAAACCCTGTTAAGCTTGGCATACTTGTTCCAGTGTGGTCTGATTTCAGCAAGCTCATATTACTTCCAGTTCTCTGAGCAAAATTTGATCTTGTGCATGTAGATCTTAAGAGTAATCATGGATTTAACTCAGAGAAATCCTCCTTGCTGGCAGTTCCTATCAAGTTCTCACTGTCCAGTATGGGAAACACTGCCCTTGTGTTTTTCTTTGAGGTAATTTATAATAGTATGTTTTGTATTTTCAGATGAGCTCATGTTAAAATATTTTTAATATCTGTTTTGATCTGTATATGTAATTTTGTTGACTGACCTAATTTTATATTTTTTTTTCTATTTTTTTGGTGGTTTTGTAACAAGTTTGGAAGGCAGTGCTACCTATATATTGTGTTTTCTTGTGAATCACTAACAGTACAGTGTGGATGTTTCTTGATGATTTTGCTTCAGTTCAATAATGGAGCTTCAACACAAAAGCTTTAGCCCTCTTGATAAAATTTGTCGAGATTGATAAGAGCAATCTCAAAAAGGAATTGGAGAGAAACAGTACTGTTTGGAATATCATGTATTTTATTATTTTTTCTGTTTAGGAACAGCTTCTGAAGATGGTAAGAAAATATTTTGTTAGATGAGCTAATATTTTCAGCTTCATATTTTCATTGATACAAATTAAGCTTTAAAAGTAGAATACGGTCTTTCTGGGTCTTTGTGGAGGTTTGTAACTCCAGATAGCTTATGCATCTAATACTTGGTTGTCGTGTAGTATTTTTAAAATTCTTTTGCTTTTATTTTAATTCTCAAGTACTCATCTGCAGTAGAAGTGTCATCGCTTAACATTTTTAGTGTGAAAATACAGGAGCTTTATAATTTTGCATTTATTTTTTTAAAGTGAATCTTGTCACAGAATATTTCATCAAGTATGTTCACGCTGTGGGAAGCAGGTGCTACTATTACTCATCTCTTTGAGACTTGGGAATTCATTGTCAATATGCTATTAACATTAAAACCTACTATTAGTGAATGGATGTAGAGACTCCAAGTGAGTTAACAGTTCATTTGCCTCATAAATACAAACTGGGTTTTTACTTCAATAAAATTGAACCAGGTTCCAAGTGATAATTTAACGTAGTATCGCAATAGTGGCACTCTGTGTTCCTAGGTGTTTGGGCCAAATTCTGAATGCAGTTACATGCTTTGAAGTCTCGCAGCACTCGGTGGGAAAACATTGCCATTGCACGGGGATAACTAGTAGAGTTTGGACTAGTTAATCTAACCGTTCTTGCTAGAACATTGTTTTCTAATAGTTTAGTGAATAACCCCCTTTATCCTGATTCTCTTCTTATAGACACTCATCTACGGCATTTCCCTCTACTTGGATGAATAATATTATCTTGGTTGGTCTCCAAATTCTGCTGTGGAAAGCCTAAAGAGGCTAGAACTAAATACCAGTCTGTGTACCTAATTCTTCTGGGTCAAATACTGACTCTACATGTCTAGAAAATATTTTAATTATGCAGTTTTTAAAAGTGGATTACTTGTTGAGCTAGATCGACCCTGTGTAAGCTTTTTGAGGTTTGTTCTTCCAACTTAAGAGTTACAGTTAGCATGGTTTTGGCTTTTGTTTCATTTTTTGGTTGTTTGAGAGGTTGGCTTAGGAAATGTAGTACACAACTCTGCTGTTTTCTTATATGAATAATCTTTCATATGAACCTATAATTCATCCAACTGGGGTCTTCCTTTCTTTTGTAATTTCATTGCAAATTCTGTCTGTTACAAGAAATATGGCTAATAATGCAGAAAAGTTTAACCTAAACCCAAGATGGTTTCACATTCTAGAGAGAAGTAATTCTGTAGTTTTAGTTGTAGATACTCAGTTTCCTCTGTCTCTTCCTCAGCTCTTCTGTCTGTTGAGGAGAGTAATATTTCCTTAAATCGTGTTGTCACTGGGAAGTACTTAAGTGTACTTTTACTTAGTCTTTGCAAAATGCTGTAAAGGGCTTGGAAATCCTGTAGTCTACACGACAGTGGCCAGGAAAGTAGAATCTTCAGTTATAGGAAAGATAGTGTTTAGATTTCTAAAAAGGGGAGTCAAGTTAAGAAGAAACCTCAGAACCCTATTCAAAAAATAGTCACCATAATTTTTGTAGTTTTAGGACAGCAAAAGTAGAATTATGACCAAACGTAATCATGAGAAGGCTGTACCTGATACAGCAAGGTTAGCATATGCATTGCCTATTTTAATTAATTAACTGATCTTTTTTTCGTAATCATGAGAAGGCTGTACCTGATACAGGAAGGTTAGCATATGCATTGCCTATTTTATCACAGAATGGTTTGGGTTGGAAGGGACCTTAAAGATCATCCAGTTCCAACCCCCTGCCCTGGGCAGGGACACCTCCCACCAGACCAGGTTGCTCCAAGCCCCATCCAGCCTGGCCTTGAACCCCTCCAGGGATGGGGCAGCCACAGCTTCTCTGGGCAACCTGTTCCAGTGACTCACCACCCTCATATAATGAACCTCTTCCAGTGTCTCACCACCCTCATATAATCAAATTGTTTATGTAGTAGGCAAGAACTAGCTAGCGAGTTCAGGGTGTTGAAGTGATAATGTGTCAATTGGTTACTAAAACACGTAGCATCAGAGGAGAAGTATTTTGATTCCTCAACTCTTAAGTCCTGTAAGGTGTTCAAATTTCTACTAATTATCCCAAATGAATTTTCACCAATTGAGTTAAGTTTTACGCTTCTTTTCTATCTACAGAAACCGTTAGTAAATGCTGCTGATGCTTTGCTTTATACGTTACTGTGAAAAACTGATTTAATGCCTTTTCTTTTACAGGTCGTGTACGAACAAAGCTCTCAACGCCTTCTGTTGGTATTGGAAATTCTAAAACAGATTCCAGAGGACGCAGTAGAACCAAAGTGGTGTCACAGTCTCAGCGTATGTATTTTCTGTTTGTCAGTTATACCTGATAAAGAGGCCAAATGCTTAAGCAAATATTCATTGACCAATGGCTACAGTCAAAGTTAATTTAAAAAAAAAAAGCTACATACTGAGTTGTTGTTCTGTGCCTTAGGTTCATCATCGCCAGACCAAAATGAAGGTATTTTTTTCAGTGTTTTGGATCAGTGGTATTTGCATGCTTTTCTAATTCATGTTGTTTTTCTATGGACAAAATACTAGGTTAGGTCTTAGTTTGCCAATTACATTAGACAATGTAACAGGAAATGAAATCTACCCTTAAGTTCTGTCTTCAGTTATAACTTCTCAACATTCTTTTCCCCCCCTTTCTGACCTGCCCAACATGAAAGGCCAGTAAACTTCTGTGTCAGTCACATGAGACACATGGATACGTAATAGAGAAGAAGGGGTAGGCTGAATGGTGTCTTCAGTGTTACCTGCAAAACCTAATTTTTCAGTCTTATTTTCAGCCAGAAATACCTATTTTCAGCCAGAAATACCTATTTTCATTTTAAGCTGGGCCCTGCTCTAACTCTTGGATATAGATATATTCCTTTTTTTATTTTGTATTACAGCTGTTACCTTTATTTAACTCTTCTTTGGAGTAAAAATACTAAACCCTAACTTTATAATCTGTTACTTAGCTCGTATTGAATCAAAGGGTTAAAATAAGCAACTTATTATATATCAGCTAATCCACAGTAATTTTCTATGTGTGTTTAGAAACCAAAGCAAATGCAAATGTCCAATCTAGGTAAGCACTCTGTCATTAATTAAAAAGCCTCGATTACCTGACACTCTTTGGCACTGGCTGACTTAACAGCAATTTGTTCACACATCTGATGCCTCCAACAGACATCTTCTCACTAAGCTCTGTAGTGTGTTCAGATTCCCACATTTGTCTAATGCGGTGGGATGCAGTGAAATTAATGAAAGGAAGACACATTAACCATAAAATTAAAATAAGATAACCAGTCCTATAGTTTGAGATCTGACATTAATAAACCCAGTAAATTATCAGGTTTTAAGTTTTCCAGTGCAATTATCTTGCTATCCGTGACTACATCCAGTTTCTTTTAATAGAAACCCTTAATTCTGTGTTTAATGGGAAAAGCATTTACCTTCCTAGCAATGACTGCATTTATCATAAATAGAATTACTTTAGAGGTTAAAAAGCCACATAGTTTTGGGGCTTTTTTTTTTCCTGTTAGAGTACTTCCCATTCAGTTTTGGATTACTTTATGTTCCAGCAAATATGGTTGGATCAAACCTGATCCAATGCTTGCAGGTTTTGTGAAATAAAACTTTCAAAAAATCAGAGTAGATAAATACAAAATAATAACATCCAATAGCAGAAGTTCTCTTAAGTTATTTTTTGGTTTGACAGTGCTCTAATCCCACGAGTGTTTGTGGAATGAGAGCTTGAAAATCAACTCTAGTTATTGGCTGTGACAAGGTTGTACATAACTTGTTTCATGTTTTCAGTGTTAAGATCATAAGTAAAGAATAGTTGGATTAATAATTTGAGGAGGAGAGGAGGTAACAGTCCCGTCAATTCACTTCTTCCCTTTACGAAAAGCTGTAAACAGTATCTGTAACACTCTTCACTAGTATTAGGGGTGTTCTGAAATAAGCTTGTTAAAAATACCTTCGTACTTTGAATAGATTGGATAAATTCTTAAAACATTAAGGTGTTTGAGAAACTGTTTGGGGGAGATGTTAAATTTAGGTAGCAATATAACACTTTTATGGTGATCATCAACATATAATATTAATTAAACTGACTGTATATTCAGGGAAACAAACTGAAGCTTTTTCAGTTTCTTTTTACTAATAATGGCAGGTTTTACCCAAGATAATTCCTTTTTGGCACAGTATTAATGTCTAAAGAGATAAGTTGAATTGATATTGAAATAACTAGATTTGTCTACATGTGGTGATATGTGAAAATTAAATGCATGAATGCATCTTTCCAGCCCTTTATTACTACTACTGTTCAGACCCGATGGCTTCAGAGAGCTCATTATAACCTGTCAGTGGGGGAGAACAAGAATTCTGAGATGTTTTAAGGAAGATAAACAGGGCAAATGCAAAAGGACAGGGGCAGGAGAATTGTCAGGCACGATATGCCAGCTATTTGGGTGATGCTTCTTTATGCCATTGAAAATTTTCATAGCATTGGGCACAGTGGGCAGCGAGATGCTTGATGTTTCCATACAGGGGCTTGTTTTAGTTCTCCAGCTTATAGTGGGAGAATAGCTTCATATTTGATTTAAGCATTTATTTTTTAAAAAACTGGTGTAACACAGATGCTTTTGTACATTTAGGGTTACAACTACTTAGCACTTTTGTTCAAAAATCATTTTATGAAAGACTTGCAGATTTGAATGCTTTACAAAAGATACTTTTTTGGGGTTTTAGAAGCCCTTTACTCTTCCTCTTCTATTTTTAAATTGTAGCATAAAATAAATGCATATAAAATCCATAGCTAATTGTTTTATTCTTATCTATGGAAAAAAATAGTTCTATTTTTTTCCTCTTCTTTCTGGTTTGGTTGGCAAGTAATTCAGCAGGTGTGCTAAGATTTACGTTGCAATCTTCATTCGGAGAAAAAGAATGAAATCTCTGGATGGAAACAAATTCCTGCTTTTATACTTAATATGAATTTTAAAGAGGAAAACCTGAAATTCTATGCAAGTCTTTTCAGTTGTGCCATTGTGAGGTTTATTTTTTGTCATCCACCGCACCTGCAGCTCAGTTCCTTTACTGTCTGTCTCAAAAAAAAGTTGTTTTGGCCTTGTGTGTAATTTTTGTTCAGCTGTTGATTTTCTTGAACCTTTTTGGCAATGTAATATTCTTTTAAAGTAATATGAGGACTACAGTTTCATGTTTAATTGAAATGTAATTCTTCAGTATTATCCAGTTGTTGGTTAGAAAGCTGAAGAATTGTAATTTGCTTGTGCAGCTTTGCTTCATCTGCTTTGTACATAGCATCTGAGTTCAATTCTTCAACTGTGGAAGCTACTTAAAAGCACTGCTTTAGCATAACTCCCTTGTGGCTTTTTTTTTTCCTGTGTGAAATGACTAAAGCTTTCTTATTTCCATTTGCCATCCATTTTTAAAATCTGCTCTGCTCCCTCCCTCTTCATGGATTATAAACCCCTACCCTAATCCTGCCTTTACACTTGTTCAGGATCACAGTCTGCTAACCCCATTGGTGGTAAGAGTCTACAGAATTTGTGTATACGTCATTGTTTGATCACCTGTTTGACATATCTCATTTAAGGACCCTATTCAGCAGAAATTCTGGCTCACTTTTTTTTTTTCCTACGCTGCGCTTACCTAATTGGATGTAATTCTTATTTAGAAGGTGGTAGAGATGGTAGTTTTTTGTCATTTTGGAACACTCTTTTAGTAATCCTTCCTTCATCATTCACTTCACTTTGATCTACTACTGGTGGTGGTACTGACAGCAGCATGCCAGTGCTGCTTATTAGCTATTATATATAATTATAAGCATAATATTTTCAGGATATAAAGCTTTGTTTGGTTTATTTACAGCAGAGTGGTATGCTTTGCAGGTCAGACAATGAAAGATAAAGTATTGGCATGAGAGGTTGCATTTCTTCTGTATATTCTGAGAAGAATGAGTTTTTCAGGTTTCTGACTTACTGAAGAAAATATTCTGAAAGTCTCCAGCACGGTGAAAACTTTTACAACGTTTTCATTGTTTTAAAGAGATGTAAAATAGTGGAGGCTAGGAAGAAGGCATAGTAATACCAGGTCTAAGTTAATACCTTGAGATGTCAAACCCTTAATTTTTGCAGACCACAGAAGTTTTATAGACGTGCCTATTCTTTTTTTTTTTGCTATAGAGCTTATGCTTGTTTTTTCCAGGCTGTGTAATATTTTATTTATCATTTCTGCTGAATAGGTCCATAGTTTGGAAAAGGGATTTTGCTAAAATAATCATTTCAAGTTTGAATTCAAACAATGAGTCTGAAAGTATATGCATGGTACATTGTTTTAGTCTCTCCCTCTCACCCAGCATATGTTTTATTTTGTTGGGGATTTTGTTTCTTTTTCCATATAGTCAAGCTTCAATCAAATTGTATCTTTTTTTAAATGTGCCTCATAACGAGTAACTCATGGAACTCATGTGAGATGTTGCATGTTAATTCTGTAGATCTGATAGCATAGCTGTGGTCATACAGTTACCTGGTTATTTTTAAAAGGTTAATGAAAGGTTTGTATCTGTGTGTAATTAACCTGTGGTTAAAGTTCTGTTTTGTTCTTTATTTGTCAAACTTCTTGAATTCTGCAGCTGGAAACAATATGTCAACTGGTGGTATAAATTGTTTATAACTAGAGAAGAATGGAGTCTTTGTTGAAGCACAGAACTTAAATTTTCTGTTACTGAAATATAAGAATTGGGGATCAGTGACCAGTTTCTGGTAGCGAGTATAGTGTGTTGAACTTTATAGTGCTTTGTAATGTACAGTTTTGATTAATAAAAATATAAGACACTTAAATATGTCTTGCTCAGTTTTCTAGCTTGTTTAAAACTGATCGAAGATCTTCTTCGGATTTGTGGGGTAACCACCACAGAAATGAATATGAGTAATTTAATTGTCTTCAGTGACATCGAACTTCTCAGAGAGTAGTGCTTGAAGACTCCATGCTTTTAAAAGCAAGGGAGACAAGTTTAAATGTTACTTTATTATAACATAGGTTGCATTGGAAGAGCTGGGATAATTATGAAAACACTAGTTCAAAGTTGCTGCCTTCAGCTTTCTAGCAGTTCTTGTTTTCTTTTTTTAATAGAAAATGTGATTAGTGAGACTAGGTAGATTAAAAAAAAATGAACACACCAATGTTCACGTTAAGGACACTGGAAGTGTTGTTGAAGACTAGTAATAATATTTATGATTTCTTTAGAATATTTAGTACTAAATACCATGTTAAGTGCTTCCTTGCATTGATAATTTTATTTACTTTGTACGTAGTGCTGTAAGAACTTGGAACAAGGTCTTCTAATTCACATTTTTACCTTAGAAGTTTTTCCAGCCCATTTCAATCTACCACCATTTTCCTACTAACTTAAAGCATATTTTTTTTACTTTTTAACCATGGTTGTTTATCATTCTGTGCTGTTACTTACACTTATTCCTTTTGCCTTCAGCTGGCAGTAGATCTGGGTCCCCTGGAAGAGTTTTGACAACAACCACACTTTCCACTATGAGCACAGGAGTTCAAAGAGTGTTAGTGAACCCTGCAGCTGCACAAAAACGAAGCAAAATCCCCCGAAGTCAGGGGTGCAGTAGAGAAGCCAGTCCTTCTAGATTGTCAGTAGGTAAGAATCACTGGGTAACTCTTGCTTTCTTTATAGCCCTTCTTACTTTAAGTGCTGGATATCTACAGCTTGCATTTAGCTATAGGTGGATGATAAAACTAGAACCGTGCCTGTTTCCTGAGGCTTGTCTTTGATACACAAGACAGTTTTAAATTTAAGCCGAAACATTGATATTTTTTTTTTCTGTCAGAATGCGGTATTTTTTCTTTTCCTCACCTCCCTTTCTTCCTTCTTCTCTAACTTCACTTCTTATCCCCACCTCCAAAATTCCTACGTCCATTGAATGAAAGCGTGATACCATTTTGAGAAGATTTTCTCCATCATTTTTGTGTGTCTTCTGTGTATGTGTGCATGCATATGTGTCCTGTGATACAAAAAGGAATGTCATACTCCTTAAACCTCACAATATAAGCTTAATCAGTGTAATCAGTGCAATCCACTTTATTACAAACAATATTATTGAAAAGTGTCAGTTGATTTTAATGGTATTGCTGTTCTTTTTAATATATTTTGATTTTTACCAAAGCTGCATTAATTTTATATTTTCCTTCTCTGGAAAGCTGTGGTTTTTTTCATTTGCGTTACTGTTGATTAACTTGATCTTGAGCACAAATTCTGAATCAATACTCCAGTCGTATTTTTCATTGCTTGTTTCCTCTCCACCCCTTTTCAAGAGATTTGTCAACCACTCTGTAAAGAGATTATAAAACCCCCATTTTTATTTGTGTAAAGAAATAAGGTCATTGAACTGGCTAATGTCAGTGTAATCCAGCACAGTCACAGGGAAAATGTATGGGGACAGTTATGACTTACAGTACCACGTAGTCACCAGTGTCTTGTCGTAGAAATAGGTCTTTGATCTTAACTGCAAAACGGAATTGCATTAAAACTGCAACTTTTCTTATGTCTTCTCCCTTCTGTGCTGCTGTTTGTCTGTACCCTGAATCATACTAGCACGAGGCAGCCGCATTCCTCGGCCTAGTGTGAGTCAGGGGTGCAGTCGGGAGGCCAGCCGTGAAAGTAGCAGGGACACGAGCCCTGTCCGCTCTTTTACACCCCTTGGTAAGTACTCGGAGCCCCTTGTTGTGCATGGCTGTCTTTGCCCTTCGTTACGTGCACCTAACGAATCCGTGCCTCCTTCATTTAGCTTGTAGCCAGCCACCATTATTTTCCCTTCCTCTGACTCGCTCAGCGCTTACCTCCGTGGAGGATTGGCCGATGTGTGAATGGGTTGCACACTTGAAAAAGAAACGCTTTGCTAGTTGTAGTCTTATCTCAAATGCCAAGTCTGGAGAGGTGTGTGATTCGCAGTGCCTAGATAGTCTTTTTTTGAAAGGGCAATTCAGCTTTTGGAAGGTTTCACTTGAAAAAGAAACGCTTTGCTAGTTGTAGTCTTATCTCAAATGCCAAGTCTGGAGAGGTGTGTGATTCGCAGTGCCTAGACAGTCTTTTTTTGAAAGGGCAATTCTGCTTTTGGAAGGCTTTTTTTGAGATGATGATGTGTTTCTCATTTGATTACAGCACTCGTTGCTTGGGTGCAGTTAGATAATCTGTTTCTCAGGGACCAGCTGGAGCAAGTAATGGAGTGGGGCTGTCATCCTCTGCCTTTCCTCAACTCAGCAGCTGGGGTCTGCCACTCTTCAAAATTGCTCCCTAGTCAATGTGTATTTTGGTGTATAAGAAGAAAATATGCCTCATGTTATGTCTGCTTAGCTCTATTGTCATCCCTGTGTGATGTGAAAGAATAGTAACAATTATAACTTACTGCTATTGAAGCAAGTAAATATGATGGTGCAGGTAAGGAACATAGACGTGCCTATTCTAAGGGCAAGTAGCAATATCCTAATGCAAGTAGATGAACCCAAGTACAGTTCTGAAGTTACTGAATCTACGTAGAACAAGTGATAAGGAATTGAAGAAGCAGCTCTTGTTACATACAGAAGAAGAGAGGCATCGAAAACTTCAACATTCACACATCCATAGCCACGTTCAGTCCTCATTTTCAGGGCTACTGTAAGCAAAAGTTTTGTTTTCACTTAATGTTTCAGCTTATTGGCCCCAATATTTAACATTTTTTTCAAGAACCATTTTTAGAAAACGAAAAGGGCAAGTAGCAATATCCTAATGCAAGTAGATGAACCCAAGTACAGTTCTGAAGTTACTGAATCTACGTAGAACAAGTGATAAGGAATTGAAGAAGCAGCTCTTGTTACATACAGAAGAAGAGAGGCATCGAAAACTTCAACATTCACACATCCATAGCCACGTTCAGTCCTCATTTTCAGGGCTACTGTAAGCAAAAGTTTTGTTTTCACTTAATGTTTCAGCTTATTGGCCCCAATATTTAACATTTTTTTCAAGATTGTCAATCTGTTGTCTCTTTCTGAGGAGTCAATAAGGCATAGGAACATTAGCTTATAATTATTTTAACGTGCTGTTGGCTAAGGATTAGGGGAGCTTCTCATTTCCATGTATCCTAGTCAAGGTTACTACGACTCTGGTAGTAAAATTTAATACAAGTATTTTTACGTGTTGGTTGGAGAGCTTTTTTTCATTGTTTGGTAGTACAGTACTGTCTCTGTAAGATTGTATCTGAAACTGATCCTTTTTGGTGTTATCATTTGTCTGAGTATGTATCCCTCTTTTTTTTTTTGTCTGTGTGCGGTCAAGTGTTGCTTACAGTGAAGGACTTGTAATACTACCTGTTAAACATGGTCTGAAAATAGTAAATAGCTGGTTTCTATCTCAAATTGAGGCACCCAGCTGTACTCCTAATTAGCACTGGAGGTCTGTTGAGGTCTGTTAAGGCGGTGTGCTTCCTGTCAGCCATGGTTGTGTTGGGAAAGTACAGATTAATTGAATTAAAGCTGTTTCAATAACTAATGCTAATTTGCCCAGATGCTTTTTAATTGGGAAATTAAGTTAGAAGTAGGCATTATGCAGGACCCATTAGTGAACTTGTATCTTGTACTAAAACACAGCTGGCAGACTGTGGTGTAGTACACACATATGTGCTTTTCTTTTAAAAACGAGGGTATTTTCCAGATCTTTGTGCGGCTTTTGCTGCCTTACAGCTTGGCTTCAATTGCGTGCATGCAAGATCTGATTTACATTTTATATGGGGTCAAATGCTTGTTATCTTAAGAAACCTGTATTCAACTAATACTGTGAGATGGGTCGGATGCTACTTGAGGTTTGATTTTTATTGATGGAGTTTAATTTTCGTATTTAGAAATTGAAACAAGTACTCATACAGATAGAATAGGTTGAATTGTCTGATAGCACAGAGAATACAAATAAGTATGTATAGGAATTCAGTGTTAAAAAAAAAACAAAACAAAAACAAAAAAAAAAGTGGCTCTACCTGGAATAAATGAGGATTCCTAGGAGTCTTTCTAAAATGACTTATTTGAATGGTTTCTTATGTCATTCAGTGTTTTGTTGGACCAGTATTGTCTTACAGGATGCTATTAACTTCTATCAAAAATACTAAATTTACTGTTTTTCAAGGATGTAAGTGGAAGATGAAATAAGGCAGCTTCAGCTCTGGGCTTGTACCTATTACGTGGGGTCGGACGAGGGAATGTAATTTGTATTATATCTGATTCTCAGCACAGGAATTTTTGCTTACAAATGCTAAGCCCTTTGGGGCATAAAATGACCCAAGTGCTCCATAATTGCTTCTCTCTATACATTGGTATGAAGTGTTTATGTAATCTCACATCTCAGTATAAGATTACAGCCACTGTGAGAAGCAAGTGATTTGTAATTTATGTGGCAGTGCCTACTTTTCTGTATTATCAGTATTTATCAGACTAGTATAATTTCCATATTTTAGCTAAGAAATTATGTTATTTTGACTCAATTTGAATCTTATTTTGATTGATCTTTTAAAAAAATGAAACAACAAAACTAAATATTTGCACAATACCTGCAATTTGAAGGATACAAAGAATATTCTTGGAAATATGCTGTGGAGTAAGGTATGTTTGATCCAATATAGTGCTTTCTTTCATTGTCTTAAAAACTTGTACAGCATGTTTCAAATGTGGAAACAGGATATTTTGAATTATATGCCTAAAGTTTGAATTTTTAATTGTCCCTTTAATTTTCAGGGCTTATTGATGGCATGCCATAGAAAGGCTTATCCTGTTGTTGTTTAGCAGGATAAGAGAGATTTAAAGCCTTGATGCCTGTATTTTGACATCCTCTGTCCTGTCTCCTTTTCCATGCTGAGACATACTTTCTGAGGAACTAAGTACTCCACAAAGCAGTATTTTCAAAATGAAATTCCTTTGCTAAACAGCTTCATGCAGGTTTAGTTGGAAATGAAATATGTGGCTATGGAATGATGTAAGGAGTAGAAAACTTTATATGGAAAAAACACAATGTTACTTCCGGGACCTTTGCAGGACTTAGGATTGTTTTGGAGTTTGCTCAGGTTAAGGTAGTGTACTTACCCTAAATGTGATTTGGCCCACGTCAGGGTTATTTGATTCAAATCGGACTCTTAAATTGTCTATGTTAATCAGAGTAAAGGATGATTAATTTGGTTCCTGGTTTCTATTTATGTATCCAAAAGGTGTAAAATATTTGCATTTACAGTTCTTGTATTTATTAAGTTATAATTATATGGTATCTATTATAATTTTATATTCTAATTATATATCATAAAATTATGTGATTTATTAAAATCATAAAATTATATCCAGGATTTGTGTCACTGTAGGTGGACATTTGAATTTTAAAATTGTCAAAACCAGTTTCATTTACATGGCTGTAAAATTCTAACAAGTGACTCGAAGATGAATAATTTTAAAAGACTTTGAATTTAAAATTACTTGATTTAAGAGAGAAAACATTAGCAATGGTGATTTAAGGTCTTTAGAATATGTAAAAGACAAGTTTTATACAAGTGCCAGGAGGAGGAGGGTACTCGATTTTATTCAAAAGTCCTTAAGGATCTTTGGTTCCCACTTTCTGTAACTTAAAAGAATCTTAGTGAGCTATAGTAACTTACATACATACTTTATTTTCACATTTTATTTATTTAAAGAAAACAGTACAAATATAAAATATTAATGGCATTTTAAACTTTTAATTAAAATTGAAGAATTTTACCTTTCATCTACATAGTAATGTGTTTTAACTGAAGTTGACTTGCCTGTACATAGGCAAGAACTCAAGTTTATAAAAATTGGCAGCTGCTGATGTGGTAAGTTTGTGCAGGAGTCACTTCTTGCAGATAAAGCTTGGTATATGAGCTCTGGCATTGGGGCGAGCACGTAGAATTAAGTCTACAATGGAAGACCAGTAGCAGTGGAACTTTCTAGGTATTTCTGAGGATTCTGAGGTGTGTGTGTGCGCACGCGTGTGTGTCTATGCATTGTTTCCTCTTTGAACTTAAACATACCTGCTTTTAATCTGCTCTTAATTTTTTAAATTAAAAAAAATCACGCATGAAATGTCTGGTGTTCGTAAATCTACATAATTCTATATAATCAAAAAAACTGCTCTGAAGCTTTTTCCTTCTGTGTAATATTCAGTTTCTTGTGCTAAAGCTGGGTCTTTTTGATTAAATATTCTCTTGTTCATCTAAGCAACTATTGCCACGCTTTGATTCCGTGGTGATAGATAGGGTTTATATGATCCTGTTATTGCAGCTTCCAGACATCACTCCAGATCCACTGGTGCTCTCTACGCTCCTGATGCTTATGGGGCTACAGGTGAAGGATGAGTACACTTTGCTGTCATCTGTGCAGTCATCCTGGATTTATTTTTTCCCCACCCACTTGGCTATTCTCATAGTTCAGTTTTAAAAAGCATTATTTATATTAATTTGAGTTTTGTGGTTTCAGTAATCCAGATAGATGTCTTTATGTTGCTAGATTTTGTGTCCACCCCCACCTTCCAACGTTAATCCTTTTCTTCCTTAACAACAATCATTTTATTTTTACTTGCAGAAGAACTTTTTTAGTTTTCCATTTTTCAGTATTCGTAGAGCATTCTTTATGCATGTAGTTTTCTAATCAGCGTTCTCAATAGCCATCCTGTTGTATTTACTTTCTTTTTAAATGAAAACAAAAACCCAAAATGAAGAAGACATAAATCTAAAAAAAAATAAATTGAAAGGTTCTTTCAGATAAAACCATTGTTTTGTTGGTTTTTTCCCTGTGACATTGGAATAGAGTGTTTGTATGAGACTCTCCTTTTTTACTTCATCTCTTACTTTATGCTGCACCACTAAAGACTTCAGAATGAAAATAACCAGTATTTTAGCCACTATATAATTCATTAGAAATGTTAAGCAAATGCTTTTCTTCTGCTTGGGTTTTTTTTTAACATGAGTGGTGGTATTAATGTCCCACCTTGGTATTCTGACTGAATTCTTTATATTCCTTTTCGTTGTTGTTATAACAGGTACCGGCTTTGGGATTAGCCAGTCGAGTAGATTGTCGTCGTCAGTTAGTGCTATGCGAGTTCTCAACACAGGCTCTGACGTGGAAGAGGCAGTAGCAGATGCTTTGGTAAGAACCTCACACTTCACTCCTGTAGGATACAGTCTCTTAAAAATGTTTGGTACCTATACATTAAAGTATGCAAAAGAACTTGTCGTTTGTTATTTTATTGGCTTCTGGATGGGGGGGGGGGGAAAGGGGAGCTGAATTGGTAGAGCTGCAAGGGGGGGGGGGGAAAGAGGAGCTGAATTGGTAGAGCTGCAAAATATTGGAATTAAAAAAAAGAGGAGCTGAATTGGTAGAGCTGCAAAATATTGGAATTATTGTTCACCACAGAAGTTTTCACTTTTGAGGAGTGTGTGTTTCTCCAGGGCAGACAGGACTGGTCTGTTGGAGTAAGGAGCCACTCGAGCAGGTAGCACTAACCAGCAGTTTGCCACAAACTTCTGGAGAGGTGAGGAGTGTGTGTTTCTCCAGGGCAGACAGTAAATAGTCTTGGACCGGTCTGTTGGAGTCAGGAGCCACTCGAGCAGGTAGCACTAACCAGCAGTTTGCCACAAACTTCTGGAGAGGCTGAAGGCTTGTCAGAGCTGGGAATGCTGACAGCCCAAAGCACTCTGCTTATCCTAAGCCTGGCTTCCATTGGAGGTTGTTCCCTCTGACAACATGAGATTGATGCTGAGGAGAGAGGCCGGTGGCTTGCCAGGCAGTGTTTCATAAGTTTAGGTTTTGTTGTCTTTTCTTTTCAAGGTGTTACACTGAATTTAAAACTGGTTATGCCGTTCTCTTTCTTAACTTTTACTGTCCTTTGAAAGGGTGGGTTTGGCTCCTGTCCCTCCTGTCCCAGTTAGCCAAACTGTGAAAACATCATGCACTTTCCTATTCTGACACGTACATCAGGAAGCTAAAACCTTCAAGTAATTTCAATGAATCAGATATATTTTTAGCAGGTATTCTATACTATTCGCATATTATTAAATATTTGTAAGTACCTGTTATCTAGTTATCAGGACACTTTAAGAAATTTGTTATTGTTGTGGTTTAACAAAAAGATTGTTTGGAAAACTAGTAAAAACCTACAAATTCGACTCTAAAATATTTAATTATAGACAGATATGACTGGATAGAGCAAAACAAAATTTCAAAGGAAAATAATCTTAAGAACTCTGTCATGTTCTTAATCTGGTGATTTATTGATTTCTTGGTTAATAATGTCTTCTTGGCATGTTAGTTAAAAATTTGTGTGCCTTCACTGGCATAGAGATCAGGATATCTGTGAAATCTTACCTTAAGATGTCATGGTGACATTGAGTGGTTTTTCCCCATTCTGATACTGCAAACATGCCAAAAGTTTTCAGCATTGATGGGAATATTGGTCAGTAAACTGGAAGTCACTCAAGATTTTGGAATAAGGAACAATAGAAAAACAGTTCATGGAACATGGAAGGTTTCTGGCTGTAATTTGAAAGCCTGTATGTAGATTTATCTACACTGGTACTATGTGAAGAGTATCTTAGTACTTTTAGCAGCTTCATAGCTTATTCAAATTTAGCTGGGCAAACTATATAGTAAGAATATAAATTGAGAAATTTATGCTTCCAATGGCTGCTTTTCAGGCTTGAATTTGTCCTGCTTGGTTGAAGCAATAAAATTTGTTCAAAGAAACTGTCTTATATTACCTGGATCCAAAATAGCATGATCCTTCTAGAAATGTTAGAAATTAGTTTTTATGTTTTAGCTAGAATCTGTCATTGCAAAGAAGTATCAAGAAAAGCTACATTTTATTATTACAGTCTTTGCATGCCTCTAAATGTACAGACTGTCCTGTCCAAATAGCTTCCGTTTAGATGGAAATCTGGTTATGAACATGCTTCTTGTTTTATCGTAGACTCAACCTCCCCCTCAAACAGTGTTTTTAAAAGGTAGAGTGCAGAGTCCTGGCAGATGTAATGTAGAAATCAAAGAGATTCTGGATTGTATTACTATTTTTATAATATGAAAAATACTTGGCCAGTTACAATGCTGTACAAGCCAAAGGGGTATAATTCTTTTGGCTAAGGTCTGGTTTGAATACAAGACACATGAAATGCAGTGATATGGTGATCTTTACATATTTTTATACCTTTTACTTTAGCACAGTCCTTGGCATTTCAGAGTCTATGACCTTAATTTTATTTTTTTTTTTACTTATGGTGACCCTTTTCAAAAATGTTGACGTATTTGTGATTTTTCCCTTCCTTTATTCCCTTACAAATGTGTGTATGCTTGTTCCATTGACAGTAAGCTTCCTTGTTACATGATGTATTGACTGGTTTGTATTGTGGTATCCTTTAAGTTATTCTGCAGTCAAAAATGAGAACCCTGTGCAAATGGCAATAGTAATTAAAGGGAAAACAATCACTTTTGCTACTGCTTCTTTGAAGTATGTCGTGAAACCGAAATTTTAACTACTAGTTTCAACTCCAGGATTTGAATGGCAGAGTTATTTTGCAGAGGTGTGTGCTTTTCCTTTTAGGATAAAGAGTATTAATTTATTTTTTTCTTCTGACTTTTGGCATGTTGTGTTGCATTTTGTTTGGCTTGCTTTTGTTTTTAGGGGATTTGGGGTTTTGCATTATGTAACTAATTTTTTTTGTAGGACGTTGCTGTAGTAATTGTTGCAAAGACAAAATTTAGACATTGTAGTGAAGATAAAACAAAGACAGAGATGGGAAGTTGATGGGAAAATAAAGTTTAAATGAAGGTTTCATACTTAAATAGCAATTTACTGCATGCGTTAAGTTTTCATACTCAAATGTCACTGTGTAAGACAAAGATTTTGACAGAGTTGTCTTTGTGACCAGCCAGCAGGTGATATCTAATATTTCCCTGGCAATGGAAGCTTAGCAAACTGCTTCTTGGCAATCCACTGTATGCTAGTTAGATACAGAGAGCTAAGAACAAAAATTACAGTAAGACGATGTGTTTTCCAGTGGCAGGTAGTTTAATAGTCACAATACTGCTATGCCTTACCTTCCTGTTCTCAATTTCTGTTTCTTTTCAATAATTTACTGCTAACAGCTCTTAGGAGACATACGGACTAAGGTATAGAAACTATTTTCCTTCTTCAATAGTTTAGTATTTTGTTATTAACATGCTTGATACAAAGTAAGTTAAAATGATAGAATATGTGGCTTTAGACCTGATTCTGTAACGTACATAAAGCTATTAAGTGAAATAACTAACTTTCAATATAGTCTTTATGTGACTTATGTGACACTCTATCATGCAATTATATGGATTTTTACAAGTAAACCTTAAGTTGAACATTTCATTAAACGTATGTCTTCTCTGCATTTGCTTTTTATGTTTGGAGTACTCTGCAAGCCATACTTCTTTTAAGTATCTTTAGTAACTTGGTTTGACCTGCTGAACAGTTGGAGCCATTCGTCACTCCAGGGATTAAGGGTCACACTGGGTATTTGAACTGTTGGTCTTTCTGCTGGTTATGGGTCTGTGTGTTGTTGCCTTGAAGATCAGTACTAACGGGGGGTGTTTCTGTACAACAGAAGAAGCCCGTGCGGAGAAGATACGAGTCCTATGGGATGTACTCAGATGATGATGCCAACAGTGACGCATCAAGTGCCTGTTCAGAAAGGTCCTATAGCTCTAGGAATGGAAGCATACCAACGTATATGAGACAGACAGAAGATGTGGCTGAAGTCCTAAATCGCTGTGCCAGCTCCAACTGGTCAGAGAGAAAAGAAGGCCTTCTAGGCCTGCAAAACTTATTAAAGAACCAGAGAACTTTAAGGTAAGAAGACTTGTTAATAGGAGAAACGTGTTATTTCAGAGTCGGAGGGGAGGCAAGGGAAGCAGGAGAAGGAGGCTAATGTTCCAAACACAGCTGGGGAGAGGGAAAGCGTGGTGTGTGTCTGTGAGAGTAAGATGGGGGAAGGAGTGAAGAAGTTCTTGTCACTTCTGGCCACTAGTGTATAGGAGCTGGTTGAAAGGCTCAGTTTAAGCAATGGAATTTAAAATCAAGAGGATTCTTGCAGTACAAAAGATTCCTAAAGTGCTTGCATCTAGTATTGATGGAAGGCCTTTATTTTATTTATAATTTATTTTTATTATTCTTTTTATTTCCTGGGTGTTTATTAAGAAGAAACAGTTTACTGCTAGCTGCTAAGAACACCTTTTTCCTTATATGTTCTGTTCTAGTAGTATAGAATAGGATAATCTATGAATTCGTCAAAAGAGAGTTTTTCAGTTTGACGGTCTCATTTTAGACAAATTCTATAACATTTTTATCCATGTCCTAAATGAAATGCTTTTCTCTACTTGGTTTATTAGATGATTTGATTCAATAATTACAGTTGATTTCAGTGATGACCATGCATTAGTGTTCTGGTAGTGCTGACTAATGTATTGTTGTCACTTTGGCAGTCGTGTTGAGTTGAAAAGGTTGTGTGAAATCTTCACAAGAATGTTTGCTGATCCTCACAGTAAGGTACGTTTAGGTTTTTCTTGCCTTCAGTACGTTTCAAAACACGTTTGAAAAGTTGTGGTAAAATGTGTCAGCGATATTTGCACATCTAAGAATTTGATAAACTGTCTTCTATAAGAAGTTAACAGTATCAGATTTGCAATCCATTTAATTGGCAATTTTGAACAGGATAATTTCCCACCTTTTTCACAGGCTAATTGAAATAAGGGTTAGTTTAATCTAAAGTGCATTGAAATAGTTCAACAGTTTGCTCAAAATTTGTAAGTATTTTTAAGAGGTTGTGTTGTTTACAGAGGCCACTTCAACAGGAGTTGGTTTTCTCTCAAGTAGAAACAAACGAGTCTGGTGCAGTTATTTAAATCATGAAGAAAGTGGGCTAAATCATACATGCTGAGTCTGATGAACTATACCAATGTGTACCTATTGATTTTCCAAGGTATTTTGTATTATCATAGCTTATGATGTCTTCCTCAAATTTCATAGATGGGGCTGGCAGTTGAGACTCTTGAGTAATTTTAACATCATTTCTGCTATTCAGTAAATAAAGTGGAGACGATACTTCTGTATAAAAGAAAATGCCATGTTTTATTCGCTTTTACGTAGGTAAAGACCCAGTATGGATGATAAAACAAGCAGAAGAATCCTTTTGTTTTCTAAAACAGTTAAAATCTTTTTAACCAAGTTACTTCGCTTGATAGTATTTTTACACTTGTTGTGGGAGGTGGGTTACTAGTGCAGCTTCATAAATGTGCAGTATGGATGATAAAACAAGCAGAAGAATCCTTTTGTTTTCTAAAACCATTAAAAGCTTTTTAACTGAATTGCTTCACTTGATAGTATTTTTACAGTTGTGGGAGGTGGGTTACTAGTACAGCTTCATAAATGCAGTAATTTCCCACAGCAAAAGGACTGCAGGTAAGTTAGGAGCTGAATAAAGGTTATAGTGGTATCATGTAAAAAAACATGTAACCTTATATTTTGTTGAATTACAGGCTTGTTTGGAAGAAACTTTGTCTTCTTTGTTCACTATAACATGTCCCACTTTGTGTCCATCTTTCAGAATTGATAAAATGATAACCCAGAAAAATTCATAGCCAAGTAGTTAGTTCAGAAGTATTGGCTTTTCCCAGCAGAATTCTGAAAAATTACTTTGATTATACAATACGTTTTACATCATTTTAAGTCTTCCTTGAGAAGTCTTGATGGCTTAACTCAGTGTTCATCTGTCCTTATTTTTCCTGCTGGAAAAAGTGACTTAGCTACTGTCTGTGACATGATGTATTTTGGAAGAAACTTGCATTGCACACAAGCAATGTGATACTAAAGTTGTTCAAAAAAAAAACAAAAAACATGCACACAAGCAATGTGATACTAAAGTTGTTAAAAAAAAAAACAACCAGTTGTCAGAAAAGGAAAGAAAATTAAATGTTGAGATACTACTAGTTTTGAAATGAAGTAATGGCAAAATTGTGAATAGCAGCATGGTTTAATTTTGCTTGTTCTGGTATTAATTAATATTGCAGCTATGCATATATATATAGTGGAGGTATTTTTTGTAGTGGGGGAGCCAGTTCCCAATGAACGAAAATGTTCCAAAATTCCGTTTTATGCGTCTGAAGAGCATTTTATCTTTTCACTAAGCATTTAGGAACATTACATTTAATTATTCTAGTTGATTGTTTACTGGGTGTTGTGACATAAAATAATGCTGGTTTGATTTCAAACATTTGCCTTGTGTTATAGCACGTGTGGTACTCCTCTTCCAGTCACTGAAACCTTGCCTGCTTTTTGGAATTGCAAAACTATTAATATTTATCCATATATTACCACAAGGATCCTTAGGTATTAACAGTTCATGAGCTGTGAATTTTGTATCGCACACATACGGCTACACAAATCTCATCTTAGACTCTTCTCAAGTGTCTGTCAGAATTATTCTGTCATCACTTTTTTTTTTTTTAAAGGTTTGCTTTAACATGATAGCTGGATGTAGGGAATTGCTTAGAAAAAGAGGGTAATGTTATTTGGAGGAGCAAATGGGAGAATGATTTGAAGGATATGCCAAGTGTTAACTTTTAAAATACATTGGGTATCCCAATAAAATTATTAAATTTATCATAAAGGGTTTGAAATACCTTTTTTTTTTGTTTTTATTTTGTTTTATATTCCATACAGGAACTTTGTATTGATGGCCACTAATTTGTGTGTTTTTATCTTTTTCCCTTTTTTTGTTGTTTGTTTTGTTTTGTTTTGTTTTTGTTTCATTTTGCATGCTGTCCCCTGTGTTGGAACTCTCTTTAGAGAGTAAGTTGGTTCAATATTTGTTGGAAGCCTAACCTTACTTGCATGAATGTGCAATTAACCCTTTTTTCTCTATTTTTCTTCCCCAAAGAGTTCATGCAGTGTCAAGCCTTTTGCAATCATAAAATGCTATATACAGTTCTGTAAACTGTGTGGTAAAGTTTCGAGATGTGCTTTATCTACTAATGAACTGACATTGTTTGGTTATGCATTCCTGCTTTATATTGTGGTGGTTGGCACATCTGAAATAATTCACTTTACAGGTAGATTGCTTACAATTAGTTTCATATCTGTTTTATTTTTTCTACTATCAAATTATTAAAAACTTCAACTTTGGATGCTTGATCTCAGAATTTTGATTTCCATCATAAAAATGGAAACTGCAGAAAATTGCAGTGCCCACATACATTGTTCAGCATATATAGGTGGTTCCATTTCCCATTCCAAATTCATCCTTTACCTTAAATGCTCTTACAGCCTTCTTCAATTGTTCATGCTTTCGCCAAAGACAAGATGGTGTGATTCTTTTTTTTTAAAATAAAACAAAATGACTCAATTTATTTGAGTGTTCTCCAGACGTTCACTGTGGTAAACCTAAAATCAAACAAAGCTTGAAAAGAAAATTGAGTCCTCAGTTATGTGTATTTTTAACAGCTAAAATATTGGCACAGGATCTTTAGAATATTTTTGCTGTAGTGATCCATGTTTAAAGTATCATAAGTCCACATTACTCCATCAAATAAAAGGTTGTAACAAGTTTGTTCAGCTTGCACATTTTAATAAAAGACGTGTGTGTCAGGGTCTGCAAACTTGAAGAAACAGGTACAGATTTTAAAATCTGCTGAGCTATATAGTTTAATTTGAAAGGGTTTGGATAAAATTGTAAGACCCCTGTGTAATCTTTATAGCACCAGAATGTTTGGGGGTTTTTTTGTTATTTGCCTAGGTCCAGTATATTTTCCCTTTATTTTAGGGCTGTGAAGTCCAAAGACTGTCAGATTACAATACGCAAAGTACTCCCTGGTTTGGTTTTGCGTAGGTCTTATAATCATACCCACTATTTTTGCATCCACAGGGTGGTGTGTGTCAGGGTCTGCAAACTTGAAGAAACAGGTACAGATTTTAAATTCTGCTGAGCTATATAGTTTAATTTGAAAGGGTTTGGATAAAATTGTAAGACCCCTGTGTAATCTTTATAGCACCAGAATGTTTGGGGGTTTTTTTGTTATTTGCCTAGGTCCAGTATATTTTTCCTTTATTTTAGGGCTGTGAAGTCCAAAGACTGTCAGATTACAATACGCAAAGTACTCCTACGCAAAACCGAACCAAGGTCTTATAATCATACCCACTATTTGTGCATCCACAGGGTGGTAAATTGTTTCAGTTCAGCTGAATACAGAAGACATTTCCAATCCTGAGCATAAAAATTTCTTCTCGCTACTGGGAGGGTAATTTTTAAACCTCAGACTTGAATACCAATCTAGAGAGATAGCAGAGGAGGTAGCAATTTTATTTCTTATTACAATTTTCAGTGTAGTTTGCTCCAAAAGAGTCCTAGTAGGCTTTATGTTTAGTAGGATTTGTATTGTTCTGTTTCTGAGACAGATATCAATCAAAAGATTCTCCCTGGTCTTTATGAGATCCTGAAAGAATCTGAATTTATTTTTTTTTTTATTTCTAATATAAATCTTGAGTAATTTCTTTTAAAGATACTTGTATGGATTTTTTTTTTTTCCACTTTATGATGTGAATTTTCTTAACCTGGCTTGATTATCAACATGGAAAGAGATGTAATTTCCTCAGCGATGAAGGCGTGCAGCAGCATGCTCCATCTCCTCCGTACTCCACCAGTGCTGTGGAAGAAAGCCCACCTGCGTGGACTGGTTTCTACAGCCCTGTGAGGTGTGATCACAGGTTGGGACCATCCACTCTGGGAGGCAGCAGAGGAATTTGGCCTTATGAGAAGCCAGGTCAGCCCAGGAGGACGTGGGGTTCCAGCCCTTCCTCTGCAGCAGCTATTGCCAACCTTGTACCCATGGCATTAAATACTGAGGAGGCAACATCTCGCCAACCTTCTTTGCATCACACCAGTACTTCTGCTTCTGTCCCCAGAGGATCAGTTGAGAAAGTAGTATTTTCAGCCCAGACACCCATTTTTCTTGTCAAAGAAATGGGAAACCCATGAGCCCCACTGGTGTAGAGCATATACATCCTGATTTCACTGTAAGTCTTGAAAAAAACATAAGGCTAGTGAGATACAAAAAAGACTGTTTAGACAAAGTGACTGATTTGTCATGCCCTTCCCTCCAAAAAGCCCCTTTTTCCTGGTCTGAGTGCTGAAGTTACTAGACTTACAATAATCTACATCTTTTTTGAATGAATGCAGTCTTCTCAATGTTTTTTTTATTTATTGTATTCCACATTATTTGTTGAAAAGAACACAATAGATAATACATTTTTGAAAAGAACACAATAGATAATACGTTTTTGAAAAGACAAAAGTACTTCCTTGTTTTAAAGACCTGCCAGGCTGAAATGTATTGCAGCTTTTTTCCCTACTCTGGTGAATAATTCAGTGTTTGGATACATGCAATAGCAGAAGGATTTTATGCCAAGGAATTGGCCAGCTTTCATGATTTCACAGGATTAAGTAATGCAGATATTTACAATCAATACTTTGCTAAATAATTGTAGGAGCTATTTTTCTTTTAGAGAGAAAGGGGTTTTGTAGTCTTCGAGGAATATGTCAAATCAGCTTAATGAGAAAGCTTGAAAGGGTAAAAAAAAAAAAAAGTTTTATTAAAAAAAATTGAGGTTGCGCCAGCCATCACAGTAAGCATTTCTTTTCTTGATGAAACTGCATGGAATACCTAATGGTCAAACTTCTACAGAAGTCGGCTAATATTTCCAATATACTCTTGTATCAAAATCCAATGAAAAAGCAAGATAGATTTCTTTTCTTTTCTTTTCTTTTTTTTCCTGCTTGGCTGCAAAACACTTGCCTTTCTCTGCCTCTGGTTCCCTTACTGCTTTCTTCGTTTGTAAGTTCAGCATACGTCAGTCAGTGTCACTTCCTCTTTTGCCCCATCCTACCCTCTTTCCATCTTCTTCTGCCTTTTAGGTGTTCAGTATGTTTTTGGAGACACTGGTGGACTTCATCCAGGTCCATAAAGAAGATCTGCAGGACTGGCTGTTTGTACTGTTGACACAGCTCTTGAAAAAAATGGGTGCCGATTTGCTTGGGTCTGTACAAGCAAAAGTTCAGAAGGCGCTTGATGTCACAAGGTAATGAGTTCTTTAAAAAAAAAATAAAAATCACTAAAAAAAATTCAAACTTATTCAAAAAAATCCATGCTACTTCCAAGGTTTTGGGTTTTTTCTTAGTGTGCTGTGAGGTTCTAGGAAAAATGCAGAGCTAATAACAGATGGTGAAACTTCAGTAAGCCTCGTTGCTTTAGCATTTTGGTTTCCTAAATGGTTCTTGGTTTAAAGGGTTTGATTCAGTCATTCATGCTGAACAATTAATATGATGCTGCTTATCTGATTCAAAAATGGGCATCTGAGCCGTGTAGGTTTGTTGTCTTGCCTTGTGTTCAGTGATGCAGCGCTTGTGTTTGAGCTTCTTTATTTTGATATAAAAATATTGCAACAATATTTGAGTGTCAGCAGGCTTTTAAGGAGTTATGCCAATAATGGATTTGCTTTCTGTCTTCATTCCACTCTCCCCAGACTTCACCAATAGCCTGATTCCAAAATGATCTTACATGATTTTGGGGGCCATCAGGGCTGCCCATCCCTGGCCAGTTTTATTTCCAAATAAAAGCCAGGTTTTTAAGTAGAGTTAGAGGAGCTCTGGGACCTACTTCTCAGCCTATATTCTCTGCAGTGCTGGACAGTCTGAGTGGTCTAGATGTCTGCTGAACACATGGCAGATCTGCTGTGAATTCTGGGGAAGGGTATGGTGTGTGTTGGGAGGAGAGAAGGAATAGAACTTGCTATGCCTCTTTTTTTACTGCTGCAGCAGAGCCCTTGAGGGTCATACCCAGAGTGTGCAATGTGGGAGAGCAGAGTGGAACTGGAGGGTTCAGAGGAGCTTGCAGGAGGGGTGTGGTGCACACCTTGAGTAGTTCTACCGTATATTAATTTGAGGATTGCATAGATTTAAAATCAGAATACTACCCTATTGCTATTATATCATTCCTTACTACTGGAGCTATCTGTTTTAGCTATAATTGCCTCAAAGAATGCATTTCTTAAATTTTGTCCTTTACATGCCAAATGAATATTTCTGAAAGACAGGTAAAATATTAAACAAAACTGGTAGAATTTTTTTTTTCTTTTAGAGATACTAGAGCTTTTCTATACTGAAAAGAGTGAGGACTTCAGCGCCTCTCAACAGGTTATTAAAATAAAATTTCCCATAACTTAACACAATTTTCTCTGTTTGTTTTACAGGGAATCTTTTCCAAATGACCTCCAGTTCAGTATTTTAATGAGATTTACTGTTGACCAGACCCAAACACCTAGCCTGAAGGTAAGAATTTTCAAGCTTGCATTGCAAACAAAAATCTTCATTGAGAGACAATTGCTTGTCTTGATATTTGAATTTGGATTTTTATTTTTGTTATAGTTTTTTTTAAAAAAAAAAGTTTTCAATTAGTGGATTTTGTTTTTGTAAACTTTCAGACAGTCAAGCCAGCACTACAGGACCAGCTTCGCTCTTTTTGGAGCTCCAAGGTTTTTGTCTGAATTATTGTCTTTATTCTTAACCCTATGTCAAACTCTTACAGTGTTTCCAATAATTTGTATTTGAATGCATTCGTATGCTGCTACTAACCTCTGCGAGAAACATTAAGCATGCAGCTGTTCAATTTTAAACATTACACTAGTATGAAAATGTTTGCTGCAAGAGAGATCTAATAAAACCACAGTACAGCAAAAAAGAGCAACAGAAATGTGGCCGCCTAACATCAAGCTGGTTATGCAAACTCACTCTATCAAGTCTTTTCTAATTTTATGTTTGTGATTTCCCAATCCTGTTTTCCTAGTTCATATGTATTTTTTTTCCTGGGTTCAGCCTGATAGGCCTTGAATTAATTTAAATTATTTTAATACTAATATGAACTTGAGTTTTACTATATTAAAAATCAGCTCCCTTTGTGGTACACTTTTCTGAAAGCAGTGTGTAGCTTTACAATTAAACACATCTTTACATAAGAATCTGTAGTCCGTAGCCCTGCCAGTATAACTGAGAAGTCAAAATGTGTTCTGTAGTACATTTACAATTCCAAAGAGAGTTGATTTTAGGATAAATGCATCAAATCCTAAGAAGATTTACAAGTGATGTAAATGGGGAAATAACAAGCATATGATAACTGGCATTTTCTGCTCTATCTTGCACGAAATATATTTATACAGTTTGATACTGCACAAGAATATGACTTTTCCCAAGTTATGTTGAACTTGAAGTCACATGAATATGCCTTTTTTGTCTACAATACAGTAAAACTTACATTTTTAAGCTTTTGAGGACAGTTGATACGTTGACCACTGTTGCTTCGTAGAGCTGTGTTAAAAAGGGACTGCTGTCATTTATTGAAGACAGCAAATGAGGTAGTAAAAATCAGTTTGTTGTTTAAATAAATCCTTGGAACAAATTTGGTTTGGTTTTATTTTACTTGGTTTTGCTCCCCAGGAAAGGTGAATTTGATGGGTTTTTTTCCATACAGTAGTATAGCTGGTATTTCAAAGTTGAGAGTCTAGATTTGGAATGAGACATGGACTCTTACTAGGCTGGGTTGGGGCTAAGTTCAAGAATATTGACTATGCGACCTAGAAGGAATTAAGAAATCTGAAACACTTAATGGGAATACATTCTGAAAATAGTTTCCAGTATTTGAGAGAGACTTCTGAAATCAAGATTTTTGGTAAAAACTACCTCCATGGAAGAATACCTGTTAGTTTGAAATAATGTCAAGAGTAGTTAATATGAATTTTTGGGACAGTAAAGTATGTAACTTATTTAAGAGAAGGTAAGCTCTTCTCCAGAAGAGAGTGGTATCTACCCCCTACTTCCATCTTTATGAGGTAACTACAACTTCAGGACGCAGACAGTAAAGTTATTGAACATAAATTGCAGAAGTATCTATTTAATATCCATATTCTTGAATACTTCCTCTAAGTTCCATCTTCAGTGCACCCAGATGTCTAACAGATTAATTGACAATCCTAGGGTGCTACTTCTTTCCTTGAAGTCTTCAGCTTTTTTTCTTACTCTGATAAATGATTATTTTGTTGCGGAGTGTGCCTTTGGGCTAGGTATTCTGAGAAACAGCATTCACTGTGACATGAAAAATCAGACCGAGGATTTTCAGCATCCTTAAAGATGGTTCAGCTATAAGAAGGGATGATAGGTCAGAAATTTGCTCAGTGAAAGGTTTCTCTTTGACAGATGGCTTCCCTCTGTTTTTCTTGTGCTAGTAGTAAATAATAACAATCTTTTAGAATAAGCTGTCATGGTTGTTTTTACACTTAAAAACACGGCTGTCTTGGACAATGTCAGCCAAGCCTTTGGAGTGGCCACAGAGGTGGCTCTGGGTAGGAGAACCAAACGCAGAGAGGATACAACTTTACTGACCTAACCCACGGGGGATGCAGCACAGTGCATTTTGCTGTATCTATCTTACTTTCTTCTGCTATAATTTTATATCTAGTTGTGGCAAACTGCTGAATCGAGAGTTTAGAGGTGCCAGATGCACGTATTGATTTTGGTCAAATGGATGGATGGGCACAGGAGTCAAAGTTTCTAGGGATGTAATCTCTTCAGCTTATTTTCGCAGGTGCAGAACGTATGCTTTCTAAGGGATGGGTCTTGTCCCGAAGTACACTTCAAATCAGCACTTTCATTTTTCTCAGGTTGAATGTCAAAACAGCTCACACTCAGTGAAGAACTGATTTAAACACTGTGACTAAAGTTGGTTGCCATCTTCTGGAGGCTTCTTTCCTTTGAATATACTGATTTCTTGACAGAGGTTTTTGCTGCAGTTGGTCAGATTATTTTTTTTTTCACAGTCTGTATTAAAATTTCTGGATTAAAAAAAACTCCAGCCAACCATTGACACAGATTCACAGACATGAGAGCGCCCTTCAAAATTGATCTTTAGTGTATATTGTAGTCATTTGGTTGAATAATGGCAGAGGCAGTCACTCCTAAGCATCCAGTAACTTAAGGACAGATACCCAGGAAAACACTGTAAGAGACAGAGTTTTTTTGTGGTTTAAATAAAGCAGCTTATCTCATTCCTCTCTCAATTTTTTTTCTTTTTTTCTATTATGTGAAATGTTTCTTTTATCTTACCCTGATGCAGCAAATGAAACTCTGTAAATCTCAAATTTTTCACATTTTTCTGGCACTGACTGTAGCAATATTGCCTGAATCACTGGAGGTGGTTGCACTTCCTATTGTGCCAGAATTTATACTTTCATTATTTCTGAAAGATGTTTATGAAGCAATTTAGTTCCATTTATGTTGAATCTGGGTTTTTTTGTGAGTAATAGTGCTAATTGTGACTTGATCTATATTTCAGCTCACTACAACAGGGCTATTCTTAGAGAAAAAAAAAGTCTGTTTGTGTTAATATGCACTACAGGTAAAATGTCTCAGTGTTAACAGTTCAGCAAAAGTACAATTAATTCAATCTAGAACAGTACAAAGAGGGTCAGGACAGTATTGAACAACTTCTTAGACAGTGGTTTCAGATAAACAGCAAATACTCATTGTAAGAATTCCTGGAGCTACTTTCATGGCAGTCAGAAATTGTTTACCTCCTCTCAGATTAAATGGATTGTTGAAGAGGACTATGTTAGACCTTTTATTTCTGAATCTCAACTCTGTATATACTTACTGGAAATAGTGGTAAAAATACATCGTAAATAGATTTGCTGCTATTACAGAGTTTATTTCAGGGTGGTTTTTAATTGTAATAATGCTGTCTCGTTGTGTTTGATCATGGAGCGGTACCCCTTCCAGAATTTCTTCTCTCCAAAGCAATTAGTGAAAAACACTTACTTTGAAGATAGCGGTCAAATTTAGCTTTGGGTATGTGTCTCATTGTGGAAAGATTTATTAGTGCAAACTCTCTCCATTCATCTTCTGTTCAGTGCTCTTCTGTCTCCTGAGAACCTCCATCTTTCGAGAAGCCTGTGAGATATACTCTGGGGAACTCCTTTAAGCACTAACTAATACTGAGATAAAGTACTCTCCAATTTTTTGTTTGAGAGCAAATGCCTCTGGGCGTTCTAAGTGTACAGTTCTTAACAGGGTTTTTTCTTTAAGATGTGACATTATATATATTTAAACCATAAACAGTGAAACATAGTGCTGTTGTAATGGTTTCACTTGGTAATCTAGAAATTTTAACTTTATTACTTTGTATTTGGGAAGCCCATGTAGCCTAAGTTTTATGGCTGTGGAGATGTTTGTGGGTTGGGGGTTTTTTTGTCATTAAAGAATCTAGCAAATAGTGTGGGTTTTACTGCAGTTGTTGATACTGATCTGCATGATAAGAAAGCCTTCAGCTGTTTCTCGTTGTATAACTTTGGAGAAGCTGAGCTTTAACAGCTGCTGTGAAAGTGGAGTATTTGTTATTAGTCTACATATATCAGCTATCATTAATGTCTGTGTCACTTAGTGTACCTTGAGTTTTTAATAGCTTGCAAGTTTTGATGACCAAGGGAAATTTCTAAATAGCTTTGTTCAGAACAGTTGTACTATAAGCCATGAACAATTAAAAATACAACCATAACTTTTTTCTTTCTGGTTATGATGGGCGTAGGTGTCTCCCTCCTGGTAGGTATTTCTGGTTTGCTGTAATTAATAATGGAAATAAAAGCAGCTCCGTCAAATGAGTGGCCTAAATAAATGTTCACCGCTTCTGTTGATGAGTTGGGTGTCATATCTCTGGAGCAGTAGGAGTTGAGGAGATCAATATTCAAGGGAGATAAAGGCATAATAGACCTTTTCCCACAGCTGTGTGGTGGTGGAGTTTGGGAGAAACTTGAGAGAGGCTGAGTCTAAGCTGTATGAAACAGAAGTTCTGCATAAGGAGTAGAGGGAGTTAGTGGAGTAGGAGAACGATGCTCAGATATATGAGCGAGTAAAGCAGCATTTCTCCTGGTAAATCCATGTCTCTCTCTTCCAAATATCTTCAAAGGAGAAGTGTGTAGGTGACCCCTTCTAAGTCTTCTGTAGAAATTGTGTTCCGTAGCTTTTTAGTATTTAACGGGAGGATTCATGTGGCTTATCCCCAAAGATAGTGATTGCTGAACGCTGGTGTTTTATGAAAGAATGCTGAGTGTTAACTACATGGTAGGAGCTGATTATTGGTTCATCAGGTGGTGTTCGTTTTAGTACTAGAAAAAAATTCTTAATTCTGAATAATTCTTTAAAATCCTGAATATTCTTAAAAATTCTGAGTACTTGGAGTAGGAGAACGATGCTCAGATATATGAGGGAGTAAAGCAGCATTTCTGTCCTCCTGGTAAATCCATGTCTCTCTCTTCCAAATATCTTCAAAGGAGAAGTGTGTAGGTGACCCCTTCTAAGTCTTCTGTAGAAATTGTGTTCCGTAGCTTTTTAGTATTTAACGGGAGGATTCATGTGGCTTATCCCCAAAGATAGTGATTGCTGAACGCTGGTGTTTTATGAAAGAATGCTGAGTGTTAACTACATGGTAGGAGCTGATTATTGGTTCATCAGGTGGTGTTCGTTTTAGTACTAGAAAAAAATTCTTAATTCTGAATAATTCTTTAAAATCCTGAATATTCTTAAAAATTCTGAGTACTTTGGTTTTCTTTTTGTTAAATATAAGCATCATACGCAATGATCTGTATATTTTTTAGTCGCTACCAGTGAAATCTAGGATTTCTATTAGTATTTGAATTTTGGTGGAATAACTGCCTTCTTGAAGTGTTACATCCATTTGTACATTGATTTGTTGTATAGAGTTCTATATCAATACTGAAAAGATAATTAGTTTAATTGGAAAAAAAAAATCATCTTTATTTTAGGGAATGAGCACTTAACTCTGTGAGCACGCTTGTTCTTGCAGCATACCATTTTTATTGTCCACCTGACTCCATTTCTCTTTGCAGGTCAAAGTCGCAATCCTTAAATACATAGAGACTCTTGCGCAACAGATGGATCCAGGAGATTTTGTAAATTCAAGTGAAACTAGGTTAGCTGTGTCTCGAATCATCACCTGGACCACAGAACCCAAAAGCTCAGATGTTAGGAAGGTAAGTTTGTTAATGTGCGCTTAGAATTGCAGGACATTCCAAGTATCTCAGCAAATTAGAGATGCTACTATTTCTTGCCTAAACAAAAGAAATATTTCATAGAATTGTCCAGGTTTGAAGGGACCTTTCAGATCATCCAGTCCAACCATCAACCTCACTCTGATCAAAACCATCACTAAACCATGTCTCTAAGCACTAGGTCAACCCGGCTTTTCAATCCCTCCAGGGATGGGGCCTCAACCACTGCCCTGGGCAGCCCAGGCCAATGTGCAATAACCCTTTCCATGGAAACATTTCTCCTGATCTCCAACCTGAACCTCCCCTGGGGCAACTTGAGGCCATTTCCTCTTGTCCCATGGCCTGTTCCTTGGGAGAGGAGACCGACCCTCCCTGGCTACACCCTCCTTTCAGGGAGTTGGAGAGAGCCAGAAGGTCTCCCCTCAGCCTCCTTTTCTCCAGGCTCAACACCCCCAGCTCCCTCAGCCTCTCCTCATAAGACTTACTCTCCAGACCCCTCACCAGCTCCCTTGCCCTTCTCTGCACCCGCTCCAGCCCCTCAATGTCTTTTTTGTGGGAAGGGGCCCAAAACTGGACACAGCCCTCGAGGTGGGGCCTCATCAGTGCTAGAGGGTACTTCTCTTAGAAGCAAACTTATTCTTTCATAAAGAAAAGATACTTCTGTGTCCTCCTCAGCAAACACACCTGTTTTGTCTATATAAAGTATGAGAATTTGCCAAAAATTGTGTGTTTAAGAATATTCAAGTAAGAATTCAAAATTAACATGTCTTGAAACCCTCCATTAGGGTTGTATCTTTACATGTGTTAAAACATTGACATTATCTTTCATAATACAAGGAAGAACTTTGTTTCAAGCAATATCTGGTATTAAAATCTTCTCATCGGGCATTTTCTCTACAGTTTTAATATTACAATACTTCAGATACCACCCCCTGTGATATCAATAGCATTTTCCTAACAGGAGTGGTGAGCTTGGTAGCAAACTCGGTTCAATCTCTGGATTTTCTCAAGTCCTTTGTGTTTAACATAAGATAGGTGAATAACTGTTGTTCTTTGGACAAAAGAAAGTTTGTGCTTTACTAAGATAGTATCAAATGTTTGTTCTTGTGATGCTGCAGTTCCAGTGCACAACTCCCTCTTCCACATAACTATTGTGAAGTGAAAATTAATGTTTGTGAGCTACACTAGGGATACAGAATAAGCATGAGTCTTTGGAAATGGTTTCTTCCAATTATAGAAAGCAAAAATCTTTTAATTCTGTTTGCAGTTTGATGGATTAGAGTTTGTGAAGTGAAAATTAATGTTTGTGAGCTACACTAGGGATACAGAATAAGCATGAGTCTTTGGAAATGGTTTCTTCCAATTATAGAAAGCAAAAATCTTTTAATTCTGTTTGCAGTTTGATGGAATAGAGTTGTTGTTCTGATAGTCACCAGCCATTCTGTCTTAGCTGCCATTGTCAGCATGGTAACACTTTTTAAATGCTAAATGAGCATTACTTTATGGCTCATCTTTGACACTTTGACACTTATAACTCTCAAGGGTTAAAGAACTAACTCTTCTGTTGCTTTTTCTCTGTTTATTTCTGCAGTTTGAGGAGTTGGAACAATTTATTTGTTTAGATTTCCTTTGCTACTTTTAATTATGTTTCAGTTTTGGCAACTTCATCATTTCTGGAAAAAGTACTTCTTTCATTAGGAGGGATGTTTTGTTGGGAGGACAATGGAGAGAAAATAGCGGGAGCTGTTTCACAAAGTGTGTAATGTGAAGAGAACAAAAATAAAAACAACTTCCACAGCTTCTTAATATCTGGAATGTTAGTAATATTATAGAGTTTATAATGGAGATGATGTTTCTGTCTTTCACTTATGTAACTTCATGAGTATGAGGCAGTGATTGATTATGTGCTGTGGCCTTTTCTTGCCTAGTACCATGTTCTAGTGACATCTATAAGACCATAAAACAGGAGGGGAACTGAAGCAGGACTATCTTATAAATCAGTAAAGTTTTAGTACTAAGACACGTGGCAAGCTGTCTTATCTGATGGTTCATATCTTTAATAAGCATTTTATGTCAATAAGTAACTGAATCGTGGAAAGAATTGCCAGTGAGTTTTATCATCTGGAACACCTTAATTATATGAATTTTTCTCATTTTATTCTTTTTTCCATAACACAATTGTTAGAGGCAACTAACTGCTGAAAGCTTTTAATAACTGGTGAAAGTAAGTTTCACCAATAAGTAGTCAAAAAGTTATTCCGATGGTATAAAATTTGTTCTCTTAACAGGCTTCATAGCATGCTATCACAGGCTTTTCATTATATTTATTTTAATAAGCTTATAGCATTTACTAGGATTTCTTTAAATTAGAAGTTTTTGCCAAGTGTATTTCTGTGCAGTTGATGGGTTTGGGTTTTTTGTTGTTTGTTTGGGTTTTGGTTTTTTTTTTTAAGTAAAAATATTTCCAGTGCTAAGTATTATGAAAAATCCTCTTTTCTTTCACTAGTGTTAAGTGGGCACCCTTAGTGCAGTTCAACGAGATGGGACTTCTTTCTGGAAGCTAAAATTCTATGTTTCAGAACTTAGATTTCTTCTAAGATTAGAATTCTCCTGAAAAGAACAAGGTTCTGCTTGGAGCTCTTCTAAGAACAGAACAAAATATTTCTAATCCTTATTGCAGACTTTTAAAGATGCTATCTGGACATAAATAGGATCAAACATAAAAAGAGAGCGCTTATGCTGGGGAAAAGAAAAACCCCCAAATACTCTAAAATGCCTATTTATTTTTTTTTTTCAAGGAAGAGAGAGAGATAATAGATAATTGTGTAGTTGAAAACCTTCTGTTGGTATCAATTTTGATGCTTTAGGTTGAGCTTCATTCTGGGCAGACTTGATGGTATCAGTTTTTTTCCTGATAGGACCCTGGACTGTCTGTTGTGTTATTTTATTGGCAGCTTAAATACACGTAGCGTTATGGAGTGGAGACATAGATAACAGGAGGGAAAAAGGAAAGTGGTAATTCCCAAGCCCTTGCTCAGTTGCAGAATTTGTTTTGGTTTTGCTTTGTATCAACTTCTATTAAAAGACTGACCATAAGAAATAACAAGGAAAAGAGAAACATTAAGGACAGATTTAGAGGGCATTCAGGGTGTTCATATGAAGGCAAGGCTATCAGAGGGAAAAGGGAATCAAAGTTGAAGAAAACAGCCAGTCACGAGGGTGCAAAGATAATTTGTGGCAATCTAACATGTTAATATTTGTGTCATTAAACTTGATACTAAGATGTGTGCTGGTATGTGTGCTCATACCTTGGCTTTCCACTTTTAATTAAAAAACGCTACAGTTCATTGCTCTGGAAGCAAAAGGAGGGAAATAAATGTCTAGAAGAATTTTCTAAACTACTTGCTTGGAGTACATTGCTGCTTAAGCGAGTTGCCTATCGTGCTGCCTAGCGTGAGGCACTGGTTCTCTCCAGTGCATGGCAGACCTTGATGGTGAGCTGTATAAACTAGACATAGTTGGTTAATCTTGGAATCGGAGTTTTATACTATGAAGAAACTATTTAACAATGCCAGAGAACTTAATCTCTAGCCCTTAATTGCATGTGTTGGTTTCGTTTCTATATTGAAACCAGGTTGGTTAGACTGTCCAGTGAATATTCATCAAACTGTACAAACATTACTGAGTCATGCAGTCAACATTCTTTTACTAGAGGGAACTCAACCGTCTTCTAACTTACCATGTTGCTTTGCCAGTAAAGAGCTCTGATTTTTGGTTCAGATAAATACTGTTTAGTAAAACATGCTGTAGGATGACATTGAAGATGAACTACTAAAACTGAGGGCATCGGAGGTGACATCCAGTAGACTAACTCCAATAAGTTAGCTGACTACACCTTCTAAAGATGAAAATTGTTCTTAACAGTTTTAATCTTTAAAATATGTAGCCGGCTAAATTATTCCTTGTCATGTTAGCCTATCTTTAAAAAAAAATAATAAAGGAAATGGAGCAGGAAGGGGAGGGTTAACTACTGAGTTTGGCTGTAGGATAAGTTATAAAGAATATAAAATGCATTAATCACAATTCAAAATCAAGACTGTTTTTATTCCACATTGGGGGGGTAGGCTTTTTGGTTGGGGTTTGTTTGTTTGTTTGGGGGTTTTTTTTGTTGTTTTAAATTTCTAAAGAGATAACTGTTCTTTTTCAAGCTTGTGTGTTGATTATCCATCATCTGCAATTGCCACTTGCAGAACTCAGGAGAAGGAATTGCAGGCTTGTTCCTGCCTTTTGTGTTCCATTCCTCTCTTTAAATTTGTTCAACTTCCTAAACCTTTTAAAAGCCATTTTGAGAATTCCTTCACTATCTCTTTAAATTTGTTCAACTTCCTAAACCTTTTAAAAGCCATTTTGAGAGTTCCTTCACTATTTTTTTTTTTTAGTAAATAGGGGTCTGGGGTTGGGGGGTGTCGAGGAGCAGATTTCTTAAAGACTGCTTGTTAGAATGATTGTTCAAAGTGTAAGCTGCTTGTTGTGTGCCTGGGTTTATCAATAGCTAAACTTCAGTTCACCGGCAACTATGAATTGCTTTCATTCACATCTGCTAATATCTTTATTCAAGCCTGATCAAGATCTTGGTTTTGTGATTACCACTCATTATAGCATCTCTTGATGATAAAATTACTTTAGAAACTCAATTTAATTTCTTCAATGTGTATTTTCTTCTTCTAGGCTGCACAGTCAGTGCTGATTTCCCTTTTTGAACTCAACACTCCAGAGTTTACAATGCTATTGGGTGCTTTACCAAAAACATTTCAGGATGGAGCCACAAAACTTCTCCATAATCATCTCCGGAATACAGGCAACAGTGGTCAGGTATCTACCCCTCTCTTACTCCTTCTGAAGTTACTGGTGTTTTGAACATAAGTCCATTTTTAGAGTTATTTGTGAGAGCAAGAAGATTGGTAGAGGAGGGGAGGCAACCCAAATCCAATGGAGAAGTCTGTCTTATTACCAGATATCACACTTTATGGGATGCCTGTTTCCTCCAAAGAATTACACTTTCTAAGTCTCTGTTGCTTCAAAGTGACTTAAGCTTGTGCTTTTTAAGAGTAGTTTATCTTTTACTTTACTAATTCCAAAGTTATACCTGATTTAAGTTACTAGTAATTGACTAGCCAATCCAAGAAATTGAATAGAAGTTCTTTAAGTGTTTCTGGGCACAAGAAAATAAATTCAGTAATAAGTTAAAGCAGCTGAAGTCCTACTGGAATATCTCTTCTTGCCTCTCCTCCTCCAGGGATCAATGGGAAGTCCTTTAACAAGACCTACTCCACGCTCCCCAGCAAGTTGGTCAAGTCCTCTCACCTCCCCAACCAATACATCGCAGAACACTTTGTCACCAAGGTAATGTAGGCTGGTGTTGCTACAGTTCCACATCTAAGGCTTCATTACAACTTCTCCAAAAATTGTAACCTCAGTGGTGAAAGCATGGAGTGAATTTTGCACAAAGTGACAGATGCTGAAAAATAAATCCCCCTCCTTCCACAGAGTGACAGCACAGGGAACTGCTCGGCCTCCTTGAAGGGTCTGACAAGGGCCAGGACTTTATCAGTCCTTCTTACTTTGGAACTTTTTTCATAGAGAGTGTAAGAAAAAAAAAAAAAGTCCCAGTTGTTTCGTACTCATAAGAATAAAGCTGAGGAAAAGGAAGTTTTTCAGGAAGATGCTGATACATAATGTAGCCCTTCCATTAGCTAGCTAAGGCAGCAGGCAGTACACCTACTAAAGATGTACCATAGTACAATTTTGTTATGTGGACAGCCAGCTTTCTTCCCTAATGTGTTCCAAGACAAATAATAATTTTATTAATATTTCTTGAGTTTCTGTGGTTCCATGGTAATGCAATTTAAAAATATGGGGTCACAAAATAAATCTGTCTCAATCCATACGTCTTTCTCTGTGGCCCACAGTGCATTTGACTACGACACTGAAAATATGAATTCTGAAGATATTTACAGCTCTCTTCGTGGAGTCACTGAAGCCATTCAGAATTTCAGTTTTCGTAGTCAGGAAGATATGAATGAGCCTGTAAAACGAGATTCCAAAAAAGATGATGGCGATTCGGTGAGTATTTAAACTCAATGCATCTTGGTATCAGCAAACAAAGCCAATGATTGATTTCTTACAGTTGATAAAACATCTCTCTCAGTAGGTTTACGTGTTACCACTTCTGAAATTTTAAGTGCTACATGCTGTGTTTAAAACTTCTGTTTCTATGGAACTTTGGCTTTCAGATTTGTTAAGCTTGCCAAATACGTATATGGTTAAACACATTTTTAATGTCATAGATCAAACTTTGAGATAAAATACTGACAGCTGTTTCTAGTTAATTTTTTTGGACTGTGTATACTGTTTTTTTTGTAGGAAAGCAAAGTTTAGGGAACTGTTTCTAAGACTTCTTATTTGAAGGCTAGTTTGAAATTTGTATTTTTTTGCTCCGTAGGTGAATTATTAATGTAGTTAACTGAAAAGTGTAGGTGTATTTGGTGTGCTTGTCTGATATTTCTTTTCCTGCAGATTTGCAGTGCCTCTGGGATAGTAGACCTCCGAGCAGGAAGTGGTGGGAGCGACACAGGCCGAACAGCTCTTGATAACAAGACGTCGTTGCTCAACACGATGCCTCCCCACTCTTCACCACGTTCACGAGATTACAACCCCTACAACTATTCTGATGGTATCGGTTCATTTAATAAATCTGCTTTGAAAGAAGCCATGTTTGATGATGATGCAGAGCAATTTCCTGATGGTAAGCTCCAGATCTCGTTTGGTGCTAGAAAAAAACACTGGTGAGGTTTTCCATCTTTAATTCAGTTTCTGAATTTATTATTAGCAATGTATGTATTGCCAGTGCTGCATCTCTGAGAGGTTTATACAAATGCTGTATTTCAAATTAGTTTATTTGGTAGTAATCCTTTTGAGTGACATTGTTGGATTACTTGGAATTTGTAGAGATTAAGGCTGAAAATGAGATAAACACTGAACTATATTGTATAATTCTGGAAGCTCATCCTGTAGCAGTATTGTCAATATAAATTTACTTATAAGATTGCTTTACGATTGAAACTTAAGCACAAGGGGAGACTCACAGCAAGGAAGTAAAACTGGATCAAACCAGTTTGGGAATTAGGTGAAAGGTTAAGTATTTTGTTAATAATATATTTGTATTTGAAACATGACATTGGTGTTTTCTATTGGCTAAACATTCTTTAAAAAAAAAAAAGATAACAAAAGCAGCTTTTTACCTGGAAGGTGGTTCATTTAGCCCATGTAAATCTAGGAACTTGGGCTGTTGTTTCATACGCTTCTAGAGTTTCTCAGTATATCTTTTGGTAATGTTTTCTATCTAATTGTTGGGAAGGTTGCAAAGTATCACTACTATCATTATTTTAAATAGTAGTAGGTGTTTTTCATAATCTGGTATTTGTTATTGTTGATATTTCTTAGTTAGTTACAGATTAACATCAGGTTTTAATCTTAATGGGGGACAAATGAATTTTCCCCCTTCTTACTGTTTAGCTTCTGTCCTCCAGCACAGATGTGTTATAAAAATTGTTGGGGGAAAAAAAAGCTATTTTCTCACTTGGTGTTTCATTAAGCTATTCTATAACTTGGCTTTAAATTTACATTAAACTAAAACCAAATCCAAGTAAGGTTCATTTCTCTTTTTCTCTTTTGTTTAGTGGCGTATGGCCAGTTGTTGTCTTCTGAAAAAGATTGAGGGGAAAGGAAACTTTGACAAATTGTGTCATGTAAATATCAGGAACTAAATACCTTTGTCATCCGCATACAAAGCCAGTTTATGATCAAGATTCAATATTACATCAGTTAAGCCTCTTTATACCTTCTGAAAACATGTTTCTGGATATCGCATTAAACCAAATGCAATCTGTGCTGCACCAGCACGTTCTGGTTATGTAAAAAACCATGACTGGCTGGGGTGAAGCATCCCCATCCAGTATCAGTTAGTCCTGGCTGGAGGAGAACTGCAACATATTATTTAGGTCTGCTCTTTAATAGATCTTAACAAAGTACTTCCACTCACTGCTGCGTTCACCCTTGGCTTTTGCTTATACCACCTGCATTGTCGTTTGTGTGTTACTTTTAAAATTTCATCTAAGATAACTTTGAAAAAGTCTACATGAGAAAAGATCTGCTTGGCAAAATACTTTGTGCTTGCAATTCCTCCCTTACGAGTTGCTTGCCTTTCCTATAAACCTGAAGCACTCCTTTGCAGAAACTCCACAGAATTGCTGTCTGTGAGTGACACAAAGTCCTGTTTTTACTGGTCTCCCAGCTATCCTCTCGTGTGCTACTGACTTTTAAAATTTCATCTAAGATAACTTTGAAAAAGTCTACATGAGAAAAGATCTGCTTGGCAAAATACTTTGTGCTTGCAATTCCTCCCTTACGAGTTGCTTGCCTTTCCTATAAACCTGAAGCACTCCTTTTCAGAAACTCCACAGAATTGCTGTCTGTGAGTGACACAAAGTCCTGTTTTTACTGGTCTCCCAGCTATCCCCTCGTGTGCTACTGGGAGAAGGGTGCAGAAACACAGGGCTAGAGGGGAAAATTACACTTAATTACACTTGTTGTCCCATCAACAGCACTGGGGCAGACAGTTGGTCTAAGAGTTTAAAATTTCTACTGTGGGAGAAGGGTGCAGAAACACAGGGCTAGATGGGAAAGCCTTAGTTACACATGTTGTCCCATCAACAGCACTGAGGCAGATGGTTGGTCTAAGAGTTGAAAATTTGCAGTAGAGGAGGTGGACAGTATACCCCAAATGGCCAGTTCAGTGTTTTGCCTCTCTTACGTTAAAAAGATTTCAATACTAACAGCCTAAATCTTCCAACCACTAGCACTCTTTTTCTTTTTTTTCTAAAGGGATATGCTCTTATCCGTATACCCCAAATGGCCAGTTCAGTGTTTTGTCTCTCTTACATTAAAAAGATTTCAATACTAACAGCCTATATCTTCCATCCACTAGCACTCTTTTTCTTTTTTTTCCTCAAGGGATATGCTCTTATCTAAAGCATAGGGAAACCTGGCTTTCTGAGTCACTTCCAGACTCCTTAAAACTCCATAGTCTGTGGTTGAAAAACAGTGTTCCTCTTCAAAGAAGCTTATTTCAGCTTAACTTCCATGGACTGGGTTTTCCAAACTTCTTCCTTTTTACCTGACACTTGGTATATGGGCTTAAGATTTCTGCTTCTGTGTCTTGCCTTATGTTTAACATCTTTTTTCTTTTAGACCACTCCTCTGATTTATCATGATAATTTTCAGGTTTTACCTTGTTCTCCAGAATGTTTGCAACTGTTCTTAGGTCGATGTCATCTGCAGATGTAGTGAGTGTTCTCCGTATTCCTTCCATATCATTAATGAAAGCATCAAACAGAGCCAGGCTCTGGACAGACCTGAGCAGGGGCATCTCTCGTATCCTCCTGATATGAAACACTGGGTGCTGAGTCATACAGAGGAATGGAAAATCCAGGCTATGAGGGCACATCCCTCTTGGTCATCTTCATGTTTTTCAGGAATTCCATCTATTTCCTCCAGTAATGGAGCTTCTTTTCTCCCTTTTTTCCTGCATGGACATGGCTGCTACCTTCTCCTCTCTTCAGTCCTTCCCTCCATGTGTTCAAGTTCCCACTTTCATTCTGATACTTCACTTCCACAGTGAAAACAACTTTATTCAAACAGATGTGGGTAGTTTTGCTAATGATGTGTCAATATGCATTCCCCAAAATGGGATTTACTCTAGCTGTAATCCTTACAGGTTTACACAGCTTGGTAGGACACGTGGAATATTTCTGGAAATAAAAGTAACGATCTTGCCTCCATAAAAGTGATTGTCCATTCTGCGCATCTGTACTAATTAATAACTCACCTAATACAATTTCAGGCTGTCCTGTAGGCAAACATTAATGATCCATTTAGAGAGTCTGCAGAGCATGCATTAATATAGAGGCAGTACAAGTGCTTGCAGAAAAAAGTTTCTGTTTTCAGGTGCTTATGCTCCTGATTATTCATGCAAAACAGAATGCAAATAGGAATGTTGGGTAGAAAAACACTGATTATTTTTTTTCTGGTAAGGTAACTGTGTGGTTTTAAGATACTTGATATATGATACTGTGCTTTTACTTGTTTCTTTGTACATCATTTATAAGTCATGATATTGAATACAGTAATGTAAGATGTTGCAGGGCTGTGCTTCCTCAGTGTATGACCTAATAAATTTGTTATGGGGAATATATTTCATATGTTAGTAAATGGAATAACTTTAGGAAAGATGCAATGCAGGAACACTTGTGTTTTATGCCAATACTTTAAAACTTTTTCCAGAAAAAAAGTGTTTCTATTAATGTATCCAGGTCTCAGTGCAAAGATGGAAGCTATATGCTTTTCTTTCTTAAAGGCTAAATGGGTCTTGATGATGGAATAAAGGCAACAACTTGATATTTAATTTTCATTAAGACCATTTTGAAGTTTCTTGACTGTTTGCAGATCCCTGTTTGCAGTCCAGTATTTACAAATACAGGTTGTGTTACTAGTGCATTTTTCCATCATCATGGAATCCTCTCTAATCAAAACTAAAATCCAGAGCTTTCTTGTCATGATTGCTCTTGGTAGTCTCTGTGGGACTAATGCCCTTGGTTTGCTTCTATTTCAGCTGTTTTGTACCAAGCACTATTCTTACGCATTTTTCCCCTCCCCGTGTGGGTTAACAGCCACAGCTATTGCCGTGGAGCCATGGCTTACAAAAGTCTAAGCAATTCTGTAATACTAAGAGAAAAAAGACAAATTTATCATCTTGGATGGAATGGTCCAAATGTGGACCATTCCGTAGTCTATGCACTTTGTGTATAGATCAGATTTAAAAGGATGCAGAGTACTTAGGACTTTGGGTATTGCAAGCATAAAAACTCTTGCAGTAAACTGGCTTCCAGGTTTTTTTTGCAGTGTCATCGTAGGGGGTTTTTTTGGTGATTATAAGCTTGTTCAGTAGCATTGGCTGCACTGAAAATGTAAGCCGAATTGCAATTTTCACAGATAAATTCAGGGAGAAAAATAAAAGCATGCTAGAAAGCCAGCTAGCCATCCTAGAAAATAGCCTTCAGTTGGACAGCAGGCACTAACGTTTATTTGCAATGATCTGAGAACTCTGTGTGCTCCTTTTTGACAGAGCCTCCTATGGACCATTCTGATCTGGTTGCAGAGTTGCTAAAAGAGTTGTCAAACCATAATGAGAGAGTTGAGGAAAGGAAGTCTGCCCTGTACGAGCTCATGAAGTTAACTCAAGAAGAGTCTTTTGGGGTTTGGGATGAACACTTCAAAACAATACTACTTTTGCTGCTTGAAACGCTCGGAGATAAAGAGGTAAATTCAAATCAGTCCCACCCAGAATGTTGACAAAGCATATGGTTTACTTCCAGTGTCTTGGAAATCTATGTGGGTTGTAGGAAAGGCACAAATTTAAATTAGAGTTGAAAAACAAATAGCTGGAAATATAAAAATGTCATGAAGTCTGAATGCCCCAATGGTGAATAGGGCATCAGTAATACTTACTTTCTCAAGTATTCTTAGTTGTTGATTCTCACATGGTAGATGAAATGAAACATTTTTCACTGCAATTCAAAGCTTATCCATTAATAGACCCTGGTGGAATCTAGCATATCAAAACATCATGTGTGGCCAAGCATTTAAAAATATATTTCTAAAATACAGTAATGCTCATTGTGAAGAGACAGAGTTCTGTGTAATTGTTCTCTACAAGAGCCATATTTTTAAAATTACTGAGGATCAAAAAGACACTAGGCTTTGATTTTTAAAAAGGGTGTAAAAATATTCAAAAATGTATTTGCATGACGGGATGCTAAAGGTTTTATCAGCGCTTGAGAAGAGTAGAATTGTTTGCAATTAATTTCTGGGTAACATAGATAACTCAGACTAGCAATGTGTTTATGCTACACCACCTGAATTATCTGCAAAAAGAGAGATCAAGAAGAGTGAGAAACTGAAGATTCTTTTTTCTGGCTTTATTTGTTAACATCAGCTTCATACTGTATATATGCATAGAGCATAATCTGATATTTTTCCATTATCAACGACTCTTTCAGCTGCTGAACAAATGTTTGTTTAAAGATACCTAACTTATTTATTTTACTATTAAATCTTTAGCATGCAATTAGAGCTTTGGCTTTGAAAGTTCTAAGAGAAATTCTGAGAAACCAGCCAGCAAGGTTTAAGAATTACGCAGAACTCACAATCATGAAGACGTTAGAAGCACATAAGGATCCTCATAAGGAGGTTGGTAATCAGTTACTCTCTTTGTTTGAGGTTTTGACAAATTACTACTACAAAATGAAGCAGCTGTCCAAACAATGTTTGGTAGATCTTGCTGATGAAGTACTTTGTTTAATAATCAAGTATTCACCTGTTAGTAGTTGACAGGGCTATGCAAAAAAAAGAACTGCAGTTTTATAAGCTCTCATATGCTTAATATCAGCCCTAATAATATCTGCCTTGGGTAGATGTCCATATATGTCCAAAAGGACATAGGGTCATTATAGCTGAAGGGAGTTTTTTTCCTTGTATGACATCTTAAGCCAGATACAGGTGTCCTGGAGCAATATAACAAGCTTTTGGATGTCATTGAGCTTCATGGTTGAGAGATGGTACTGAACGTGGCAAGGAATTGTCAACCCTTTCCATTTTTAGCTAGCTCCACACCATTCGAGAGCATGGCTTTGGATCTCCTTATGGAGGATTCACAGAGATGTGTCAAAGGGAGGAGCTGATTGTGGCTGAGAACAGTGAGGGGATTCAGAAGTAGAAGGATAACTATAATCTTGTTCAGAAGTATTTGTGATGCACGCATACACGATAAAGGGTAATGCTTGTAGATACAAGAAACACAAATACAGTAACTACCTGAATATTAAACAGTTCCCATCAGTGTCACTGATGCTAGGGAAAGAATCCAGTTTTATTATTAAACAAGTATATCTTCTCCCTGCCCTCCCCCTGCAAGGGCACTTACTCTGTATGGAACTCTGTGGAGTTTCAGATTTTGAAGTTTTGACTGCAGTTCCACCCATACCAATGACTTTTGTCAATCATCTGATACTCATTTCTCATTTCCCTACACCCTCTTGATTTGTTTCATATGCTGTATTTGTTACAGTCTCTTGTCCTCTTCTTTCCTTCTTTTGTCATAGTTTCTTTCAAACTTAGAGGGGAGGAAAACCAGCTAGATGGGTTTCCAGAAGTAGCAACCTGGGCATGTAGTCATTAAACACGTTTGTGAGATGAGTGTGGAAACATGTCTTGTCAGCCATCACTGACCTAATAAGCAATAACAAATGACAACACAAGAAATTACAGATTTAAAAGGTGGGGATATTTCAATATGTATTTGGAGGGTATTGCAGGATAGAGAAATTTCAGATCCAACTCAACAAGCAGGTTTGAAAAATTGATACGCGCATTGCTGAGGACATAGCTTAGCCACAGAATATTGGGAAGAGTCTTGTTTTTAGTAAAGTTTGTCCAACTGTTGGAGTTTTTTTAAGCAGATTTTCGAAGGGTTTTTCATTCATGCATTTCTGTGATGTTGTAGAGCTCTTGGTAGGAAATTTTTATGCTCAAGACCATTACTGCCAGGTAACAGACCCTAATAACAGTCTCTGGGAAATTATTTTTCGATATCTTTTACTTATTTTTTTGCTTATTCTTTCAACAGGTGGTGAGATCTGCTGAAGAAGCTGCTTCCATGCTGGCAACTTCCATTAGCCCAGATCAGTGCATCAAAGTTCTTTGTCCAATTATCCAAACTGCAGATTACCCCATTAATCTGGCTGCAATCAAAATGCAGACAAAAGTCATAGAAAGAGTATCTAAAGAAACCCTTACTCAGCTTTTACCAGAGATTGTGCCAGGTCTAATACAGGTAAGGAGAAAAGAAAGAAGAAAGAAAAAAGAAAAAAAAAAAACAACAGCAAAACCAAAAGGAAGTGTATATATAAGAATTGCAAAAACACTTTAAAAATAGTATTGTTTGGCTGCTGTGAAGGATTTTATTTGTCTGATGGCTGCTTTGACCCAAAATAACTCAGTGGGTGCAAACTCTTTGATTGGCAGGTAGCTAAACTGTAACTGTGGTCAGGACGCAAAAGAAATCCTGGTAGGCTATAAAATACTGGTTATAGTTAAGCTTTGTAGATACTTTTACTTACAGGGTTTTTTTTGTTGTTTGTATCTTTTTCCAAATTGTAATCATTTGGTTTGAAATGGTATAATTGTAGAGTTTTGTCACTTGAGCTTTGGGGGAGGCAAGCGGAAAGAAGCAGTTGACTAGAGAAGGTTTAATAAAATGAGAAGGATATCAGAGGTTTCTCCTCCTTTGTCTTGAAAGATAAATTCTTTCCCAACTTATCAGGAGTCAAGATGCGTTAATTTGCAGGTGGTGGATAAAGACGTTTCAGAATTTAACAGCTGTGTTCTGTAGATTTCTGTCTTTAATGGGTGTGATCCAGTCATACGGCTGCAGGAAGGCAGAGGCAGAGAAAGGCCCCTCTGAGAAGGGGGGTGTGACAGAGACAGCCAGGCATGGGGCATAGCAAAGTAGCAGAAGAACCAAAAATCATTGAGGAACAAGAAGAGAGTTAACAAAAGAATCTTTAGCTGTTAAGAGAATGCTTCTTTCAGAGTAAGGAAGCTCTGAGAGTTAACAAAAGAATCTTTAGCTGTTAAGTGAATGCTTCTTTACAGAGTAAGGGAGCTCTCAATTGAGTGGTCTTCTGCTTTAAGTAAATACTGTATAATCTAGAGCAATTTCTCTTATGTACTCCTCTATTGCATGACAGCAGCTCTGGTTTCAGTGTAACTTCTGAACAGGACTGTGTGGGTTTTAATTTCAGTCTGGAAAATGATTATCAGTGGCGATAAATAAGCAGCGTGCTTTTTAAGTGCATGTTCCATATTTGCATGTTTGTGTTTTTTGTTGGAATGGTTCATTGGGCTACACTAGCATTCATTTACTGTAGACTTCAGTGTATTATAGGTAAATAAGTAAATAGCTTTCTGAGGCTTTTAATGATTAACCGATAAGGTATTAATGTTAATTTTATTGCTTTCTAGGGTTATGATAATTCAGAGAGCAGTGTTCGTAAGGCATGTGTTTTCTGCCTTGTAGCCATTCATGCAGTAATTGGTGATGAACTAAAACCACATCTCAGTCAACTCACTGGCAGTAAAGTAAGTAAAAGATAGCATTTAAAGAAATCTTGGTTCATAATTGCATGTGTGCATTTTTATTTCGGTTGTGATTGCCCAGACATTTTATAAAAGTATGTATACTTGAAGGAGAATATCAGGGCTACTGAAACCCTCTGAGGATTGATATAACTTCATCATAAAATGTTCAAAACTGAAAATCCATAGATCTTTATTGATGCTGGTGTATGAATCTTTCAGCACTAAGATAAATTCTAACTTATGTTTCTCACTGCTGATTAATGGATTTAGTTACTGGTTGTATCCCTGGTGGTAGTGATATATACTACTCAGCATGACTTTTCCTGTCAGTATTTCTTGTCTTGTTTTTCATGCAAGTTCTGATTGGAAAGCAATAAATGTAATACATAGATGTTATATACAGCAGTTTTATTTATTTTCCCTCCTTGTTATTTTACTTTCATCAGTCCTTTCAGTACCTCTAATTTGAAATAATAATGACAGTAATCAGTCTGTGGTCCTTTTTGGTTCAGGGTATTTATTATTTTAATCACATCTTTTACATACAGGTTTTTTTGCATGCAGAGAGCTGTATGTTAATTGTGAATGGTTTTCTCCTTGAGAATAAAACAGGACAATTAATTTTCTTTATCTATGAATAAGACAGTTACATCTTACAATCACTGCCAGAGAGTGGTTTTGTTGATTGTGATTCTAGACAGCATTGGAAGCTTTAGTAAGTACCAGCATCAACAACTCTAACTAGAGCTTAAAACCTCCAACAGTAACTTAAAAAAAAAACCCAAAATCTACCTTAGAACAGCATTGTAATTTGAGGAAAATATTCCATCTGTCTTAATCTAGCTACCTTAGATCATTTTCTTCTTTACATCCTTAAAGAAGCTTGAGCAGTTTCCTTGTGACAAATTTTACTGTGTTTTGATGTTTTTGTTGGCAAGATTGTTACCTTTGAATCAACTCTGTAAAAAATAGAATTTTGCTTTTTGGGGAAAGAAGATGATTTAATGTCTCCTTTGTTGTACCATTCCTGTAGTCTGTACAGTTTGAAAATACTAAATGAAGGGAATTTCTGGCTTATATTTGCAGATGAAATTATTGAACCTTTACATCAAGCGTGCACAGACAGGCTCTGGACCAGGGGATACAACAGCAGATATGTCTGGACAAAGCTAATGAAGCTGACAAGAGTTAACCAGGTCTCCTAAAGCAAGGGCAAGGCCCTCTTCAGTGAAAGGAAAATTCGTACACACAACTTCTGGAACTTTTTTCTTTTTTTTGTTGTGCTTTTTTTTTTTCCCTTTTTTTTGTTGTGTTTTTTTTTTTTTTTCCTTTAACCAACGGCTGTCCTCAGCCTGCATGTGACTGTTGCAATAGAATTACTCCAAATCCATGGAAAAACAGTATTAACATCAGTTGATCAAAGCAGAATAAAATTTTAAAATAATCTAATCTATCAGTTATCCTGTTCACAATCCTCTGTGTCTTCCCATTAACTTTTGCCAGTGTTATTGTATTAAAAAAAATTTTTTTAATGCTGATTAAAAAGGTATGCTTTAAGCTTCAGAAGTTAAAATATAAATTCTGTTGCTTTAATTCAGCTGCAGATAACATTACTTTTTTTATTGCTGTTTTGTTTGAGTATCATGTCCTTCGCTAGAAGCAAGAAGTGATGTGAAACAAGGCTGAACTAGTCTGAACTGCAGTGAGGCTCGTTCACTGTGTTGGTGGTTCATCACCTTATTTACAGCTTGTTTGGGATATTCTGGAGATTGAGAAATATGCCTATAAAAAAAAAAAAAAAAAAGCTGGATCGATCCAGTTCTGTAAAAGTGATATTGTTCATTGGTTGTATGTTTGTTGCATAAATAAGAATTTGGTGTGCGCAGCAGAGGGCTGGTACAACCAGTGCCTCTTTAATGTGGAAGACAGCCCTTTCAGGGTAGCATTGCTGACCTGGTGAATAGTGTGGCAGTCTGCTTTCTGGCAGCAGAGTTAATGGTCACTTGATGGACGTGAACCATCCTTGTCACCTTTCGTTCTTCAAGCAGGATGCTTCAGAATGGAGTGCTCTGCCCAAGCATGCTCAGTATGTATTTATCTTTATCACTAGAATGTTTCCTCTCAACCTAATTGCTGGAACAAGTAGTCTTGTAACTCACATGGGATTTTATGACAACAGTGCAGAAAACTATTTATTCCTTACCTTCCTAAAAGCACCGAGATTTTCTGCATTGAATTTAAATGGGGGGAGGGGGAATAGTCACAAATGCTATGGATCTTGCCACCTTTTACTTTTAAAAAAAGAATATATATATTTTGGATGAGTTGGGAAAGCTGCACCAAATTATTTGCATGGTTTTCTTGAATAGCATCCTCAAGACCCATCTGGATTAAGGTGTGGAAACGTTTCCAGGGTTTGTTTTTCCATTTTTGAAAAAGAGTTAGTTTATTGTGAATAATGGTTCTTTGTATTTATGAACTTGATAATGGAAAGAGAACAAAGATCAAGTAAATGTGTCCCTAAATGTTGTCTTTTTCATTTTTCTTTTTTCTTTTTTTTTTTTCCCTCTTTTGGTCTTGGATCTAAGCAGCAAGCTAATTAACTGAGAACTGGGATGAGACAGTGCCCTTCCCAGGAATGGTGGAACTTTTTTTTCCTGACTTTTTTTTTTTTCCCTTTGACTGTGGTGTTGTCTAGTTGTAGGAAGTGTATCCTGATAAGAGAGAAAATAGCGGTGCCAAGGATGATGATCTATGCTAGGCTAAAATTCTCTCTACCTCTTCAGGGTGACTAATTTTTGACTGAGCTGCTGCATATAGCACCCGGTGAAAGAACTATCTACAGTAAATATTTTTTTTTTTTCAAATTGTCAATTAATGTGTATTCAAAACTATTCTTCAACACTGCAGCCAAATACCATAAGAAACTACTTATATGCTTTACTCGCTAGGAACCCTGAAAAGCAAAACTGAATAAAAATTAAGTCAGATGCTTGTAGTTACATGAAAGGTTGTTTTCACTTTAGTTGGAAGTGAATGCAATAGAAAGAGCTAAGATGTGGTTGTTAAAGAAGCAATGCCATTGCAGAGATTTATTTGGAGGAAGAGTTGTAGAAATATATGTAAAGACTTAAAACCAAGACTCCTAACTCGTCGCTAGCCCTTTTTAGCAGCTACATCAAGAAAATAGTATCTCCTCTTTCTTTCCTTTGTTACGTGTAACATCCTTGTTGTTTTCTACTGTTTAATTACATTGTGTATTTATAGTTCTATGCTTACCATTGTGCATATACTGGCAATAAAATGTACATAACATTACTTAAAAAATTAGCAATGTATACATTCTGGTTTTCTGTTTTATTTGTTCACATGCTATAAGAAAAATTATAAATGCAATTGATACAACATTGGTTTAAAAAAAGAAATTATATTAATCTTCATGTTTTGTGTGTCCAAATGATGTTTCTTTATATGCTCTTGTTACTGAATCTGACTTGGCATTTGAGAACATGCTGTGAATATAGGTATGCTAGACAGAAATGTGTTTTGGAAATCAAATAGAATTTTTAGGAACACCCCATTTCCTTCATCTAGGCAGGTTTCTTGGTTACTATTTCATTTATTTGTACATTATACATTGTTTGCATTTTATTTTTTTGACATTTCAAAAATGTTTTTCAGTCTACAATCTTATAGTTCATATATTAATTATACAAAAGGTCACTTTAAAAAATTGCACAAATTCCAAGCTTGTTAGTCCTGTATGTTGTTCCTGCTTTTTCTCCATTTATTTTACAGAGGATCATTTCCAGATGACTGTTGTCATCTTTTTGAAGATGCTATTTCATACTGAAAAAATAAGTTATGGAAACATATGGTATATATTCTGGATTAAGCTAATTTTTTTATGTATAAACAAAAGTTGGTAAGAAAGAAATGTTTTTATCCCCTGTATGACTGAAATTTTTTGCTCCAGATAGGGAGGGAGGAAGATAGTTCCACAAAGTTTATCCCTCGGTTTTGCTTCTAAGCCATCTTTAAATGTTCTAAGTATGGATATCCCATGTATTAAAAATCTAAATGCAATATATTTAAATGAATATTTTACATATGGTATGACTAGTTCTGTTTCCAACAAAGATGGGGCTGCAGCAGTGCATAGAATCTGTTTATATGACGTGGAGGCATCAGCATGTAAGAATTTGCACCAAAATTACTTCCACTAGAGCCAGTTCTCAGATTCACTGCATTGCTTTCTGCCTTCATTTTCTATATTATAAATATACATTAGCTCAGTTAAATTCAAGCAATGATTAGTCATGCCTTACTTTCCTGCTGGATGTGGTTTCTCTAATGGATTAGCTTAAAGATCTGGGAAAAATTAGGACAATTATAAGTTGCTTTTCTTCTGGAAATACTATGTTCTTTCTAATATTCTGTGAAGATAGGTCATTGCAGTCATTTAAATACTGAAATGGCATTCTTAAAGGTTAGGTTTGGGCTTTAGAAAAAGAGGAAGAAGAAAAGTAAGCTACATGCAGAATCAGGATAGGGAATGCATGTCTTGGATGTCTGACTTGGATGTCATTTGCTTTAAAGAATTTTGAGTAACACATGATGTTCAGCTGAAGTCTTAGCAAGGAAGTTGGGATGGTAAATGTAAATTGAAAGAGAGCTGATTATGTAAATGTTCCTGAGTTTGATTGCTTGCTTGTTTTTGAAGATAAAGGTTGGAACAGATTGAGTTGTGTTTATTATTTGTGGTCTGAGTCCCAGAGGAAAAAGCACAAACATTTGTATCCTGAAACACTTACATATTCTTTGTAGTTTCTGAGTGTTTAAAAGTTTGAGTAAATTCACAAACATACCAATGTAAAAAGCCTGTTGAGAATGCAGGCCCAAACTGTTCACACCTTAATTTTCAGCAAAAAAAAAAAAAAATCAAATTCTGAATATGACATTGTCCCTTTGAAAACAAAGAGAAAATCATCTTGAGGAACACATTTGCTGCTGAGTTATCCTACAATGTCCTGCTATCCATAGGTAGTGGGGAGGGTTTAGCTGGTTTGGGTGACTTTCACTGTGTCAGGCTGGGACTTAGCAAACAAAGTCATCGAACACAATAAACATAAATGTCATTGGGATAAAAGGGCAGTTTGGGAACTGGAGGATTATCTACAGAAAGAAAACAAGTGGTTTTTTCCCCAATTAGAACAGTAAAATGATCAGTTTTGCAGTTGCAGTCTACTTCCAGGTAAAACTGAAGTCAATATTCATATTACATTCTCTAAAGAAAGCTTAAATTTTCCCTGCTATGTTTTGTAATTAAGCCTTCTGACTCTCCAGAAGCATATACTTTAAAGATTTGCTTCGTATATTATAAATGTTGTCTTAAACATTATAATTTCTTTTTTGTTAAAACACAGAAGATTTTTCAGTAATGTGGGAAGTCTGAGAAACTAATTATGCTTCTCTGGCAAGGGGGGGAAAAAAAATTGAACTTTTTTTTCTTTTCTATATTGTATATGTTTGTGTATTTAAGTATATTTCAAGACCGCAGGGTTCCCCAGCTGTGTAGCTTTGATCGTCCCAGTTAAAGAAGTGTCTTCATTTGCTGATAGGATTTTAGGATAATGAGCACGTTTACTGAGAAGTTCCCTGCTGAGGAAAGTTTGCTAACAGGTAATTTCTGCTCCGATGGAATCAAACCATGTTTGTAAAATGCTGTTAAACAGTAACTCTTGGAAACTTTGAAATAGTATTTTGCAAGCAGTTTTGAATACTGTGTGATTTCTGTCAAATCTAAAAACTCTGTAACTCTTGATTTACTTTAGGTAGATATAAGTCATCCTAAAGAAGCTTAATTTGAGGGAGTGAGATTGGAAGTAATGCTGGATAGCAACACATGGAAAACATCTTCCGGGGGAAAAAATAACGTACCTGCATCTAACCATTTGATAGCCAAGCTTGTTACCAGTGGCAGGAGGTAGAAAGGTAACTAAACTATATCTTGGGCATCAAAGTTTTACAAGTCTTTGATTTTTATTGGGTTTCCTGTTCTAGATGATGCTGTTCTCCACCGATGCAAATCTTTGGACCTCTATAAACTCCTACGGAAATGAGTTCTCTTAACTATAAAGACAGTGCCTCTGTGTGCAAGAAAGGTTTATACCAGTAAAAATGCAAATGTGGGTTAAAGTAAGGCAGTGCACAGACATTCTCAAAAGTCAGCCAGACTGGGTAGTTATTCCCTCACCATCTCTTCATCTCTGCCCATGGCAGAGCCAGCAGAGTACCTTGTGGGAGCTCCCTTTAATCTATTCCAGGCAAATTGGATTGGGGAACCATCTCATACTGGTGCTCCAGCAGCACCCTGCCATCAGAAACTTCTGCCTGAGGTGCTGGCAAAAGTGAACATCTGTCCTGGGCACTAAGGGTCTGCCTGTATCGGGGGAAATACCAAAAAAACCACCCATTTCTTGGCACACTTTGTGTAGCCTGAGCATATGTAGTTAATGATAAAATATCAGGGAAGACAAGGAAACTGGGATTTCAGCTTGGTTTAAACAGCTGAAGTGCAAGCCTGTGGGGGAACTGGAGGTATCTGTTTCAATTAGAATTGCAGATCAGCATGTTTTAAAGTGCTTAATTAATCTGGCTGCTAACCTGAAGTAAATACACTTGAAATGTAACCATAATGGTATTCAAATGCAAAAAAGCTTCTAACCCGGTAAAATAGTAATTTCTGGCTTCCTATATTTTATCCTTTCAGCACAACTTAAGCTGATGTGGATAAAACATTTTTACACCATATTAAATGTCCTTATAGATGGTTGTCTTTTGTGTGGAGAAATTCTGAGGTGTTTGATATGGCTTTTGATCTTACAGATAACAGCCTTGGCCATGTTGGCCAACTAATCAATTGAACTGTTTTACCCAGAGGAAAGTACCTGTTTTCCCTAAGGAATTTTCATGCATCACTATTGATATAGCCTGTATTTGCTTAAGAAGAGGGATCTTAAGTGGACGTTACCTGATTGTTCAGAAATTGTGAGTTGAAACTTTTCAAAACCTTACTCAGAAATAGGTGCTGGTATCATCAGAGGCTGCTCTTTCTTGGCAGTCTGTTACTGAGCCATTGTTTCTTGAACCATGTAAGAGAGATTTTTTTGCCCTGTTAGGAAGTGGAAGACCAACAGGGTGGTTACAGAATATGAGGAGAGACACATTGTATACACACTTTAATTTAACCCCCTATAAGTTGTAGCCCTTGTTCTTAAAAACCTTAAAAATCGCGTGTGGTTTACACTGGTTTTAGGAAGGTTGTAGCCCTTGTTCTTAAAAACCTTAAAAAATCACGTGTGGTTTACGCTGTTTTTAGGAAGAGGATTTTCTTGGAATACAGAATATCTTGTTTTCTGCATTGGAAATTCAGAGAAAAACATTGATTGGAGGGTTTTGTCAGCATGATGCTAGAAAAGGGAATACAGAATATCTTGTTTTCTGCATTGGGAATTCAGAGAAAAACATTGATTGGAGGGGTTTGTTAGCACAATGCTAGAAAATGTTAGACCTGGCAGAGTACCAAAGCTGCCTCAGAGCCTCTGTCCATTAGGAAGGAGAAGGAACTGAGCTGTCTTCTCTGTGTCGGAACACGCCATGGCAGTCTGCAAGTCCAAATCCTGATGTGTTCAGGCTACTGAGCAGGCACACAGTGAGCCTGGAATAGCAGAATAACAAACTTTTGAACTCGCTCACCTTTACAGACTTCTGAATCTTCTACACGCCATGGCAGTCTGCAAGTCCAAATCCTGTTGTGTTCAGGCTACTGAGCAGGCACACAGCAAGCCTGGAATAGCAGAATAACAAACGCTTGAACTTGCTCACCTTTACAGACTTCTGAATGTTCTACAAAAAAACCTGACCCCATCCTTTGCCACAGCCATAAAAACCTGCTCACTTAAGTTTTGATTCAGGCACGATGTGATGGGTTAAATCAAAATTTTCTCTGGGCAATGTTGCTGTCTAAAACTCTTTATGCCTATAAATGATCTCCATGTGATGGGTTCCTTTGCAGGCCATAAAGTCTTCCTAAGAGGCAGCAGAAGAAAGCAAAGGCAATACCTACTATGCTTCCATGTTGTAAGATGTGAGGTCAGCAAGACATTTATTCCTCAGCACCTTAATCGCATCCTTGTAGATTCAGAAGTAGGTTATGTGAGGAATATGACTGAAGGAATAAATTACTGAGCAGTAATACCCTACAATGACGATTTTAAGACTTTTTTTAAGAGGAGATAGATCTCATGAGGAAAGTAGCATATCCTGTGTTCTTCAGAAAAAGCCAAACCTATTTTTTTTTGTAACTGACGCTCATGGCATTGTAAACAATGCATATTTCTCTTTTACATATGAAGTTAGTTCTCTTGTAAACAATGCATATTTCTCTTTTACATACGAAGTTAGTTCTCTGAGTGTCTCATGTCAAGGAGAATCTGAAGCAAGTCCAAGCGCAGGGTCTCCTATGTATCTAATGTGTCTTATCAAAGTGATCACAAGGAGCTGTGGAAGCATTTAGTGTGCTCAGTGCTACTATGCATGCCAGTCTGGTCAGATACCCCACGATGCATCACCTTGTCTCTGTGCTCTAAGATTTCTACTGGAATTTAGGAGATCCACCAAAAATGTTCTTCATGGTTTTTCCCATTTCCCTTGGACATTGAAGTTCTGTGCTCTAAGATTTCTACTGGAATTTAGAAGATCTACCAAAAATGTTCTTCATGGTTTTTCCTGTTTCCCTTGAACATGGAAGTTCACTCTCTCCAATTCCCTGAAAGGAGGGTGTAGCCGGGGGGGGCGGTCTCTTCTCCCAAGTCCCAGGCGATGGGACAAGAGGAAATGGCCTCAAGTTGCCCCAGGGGAGGTTCAGATTGGAGATTGGGAAAAATGTTTCCATGGAAAGGGTTCTTAAGCCTTGGACTGGGCTGCCCAGGGCAGTGGTTGAGGCCCCATCCCTGGAGGGATTGAAAAGCCGGGTTGACCTAGTGCTTAGAGACATGGTTTAGTGATGGTTTTGATCAGAGTGAGGTTGATGGTTGGACTGGATGATCTGAAAGGTCCCTTCCAACCTGGACAATTCTATGATTGTTTGACTGGTAAATGCAGCAGTCCTTACAGAGCTTCAGCGTTAAGCAGGCCCATTAGGATGTCTAAAACCATCCAAGAATCCAGAATAAGGTGGCAGATGGACATGGGGAATATGCAGGCATTCCTGCTTGTCCTTTACTGCACTAATCAGAGCACCCTGCTGGGTGCAGACTGTCTCTTAGCAGTGACTGCCAGGTGACCAGGCAGGAATAGGACCGGGCTGGGTCAACTCTCCATGTGGCAGGAGATGTGTGGTGAGAACTGGGAGTCAGTGCAGCAATGGGTCACATGCAGACATTTTTCTTGCTTTTGATAGTCACCCGTCAGTGTTTTAAGTTCATGATACTAGTGGCAATTAATACAGTCCGGTTACCCATGTATATAGGAGACAAAGAGGTTGTGTATTCAAAAGTGCATCCAAGGAAAGGTGGGAAATAGGTTTCAGCACCTTTTGTGTACATGTACAATGGATTCATAGCCCAACCAAGCAGACAGTATCATCTGGATGTGGATACCTCCCTTGTTAGGTAGAGATTTAGGTTGAACAGGGTCAGGGATGTCTGGTTTGACATGTGTTTTCATTCCCAAGATAC